GCTGTCTTGATTCTAGCAGCATGCTTCCTTGCAAAACTAGTAGAGCACAGTGTGCATGTGAGGGATCCAAGACCGGGAAGAGAAAGTACCCAGAGCTTACCAAGTATGATTCTTTTTATGCTCAGATGCACCCAATTGATGAGATAAAGCTTTGGCACAAGTCTATCAACAAGGAGATGAAAGAAATAGCCGATGAGGCTAGGAAGATTCAGCTATCTGGAGATTTTTCGGATTTATCTGCATTTGATGAACGCTTGCAATATATTGCTGAAGTATGCATCTTCCACAGGTATTTGTTGCATCCTTTTATATATGGTGCAAACGGAAAATTTTCATTTTTGCATGTGGATCTTTTCCAGCTTTGCGCTTCTCATGCTTAAGCACGTTTCTGCATGAAATTTTTATCATTATAAATGGAGTTCTCTCAAATTTTTATATAACATACTATTTAGAATTTTCTATCTTCTGAAAGAGATTGGAGTGGCATGAGTCTATTTCTGAGATGATATATTCTTTTGTTGTTGCAGTCTTGCAGAGGACAAGATCATATTCCCAGCAGTAGATGGGGAGTTTTCATTTTCCGAGGAGCACGACGAGGAAGAAAATCAGTTTAACGAGTTTCGTTGCTTGATAGAAAATATCAAGAGTGCTGGAGCCTCTTCTACTTCCGCTGCCGAATTTTACACCAAGCTCTGCTCACATGCTGATCAAATAATGGAAACTATTCAAAGGCACTTCCACAACGAGGAAATTCAGGTGAACTTTTGCTTTAAGTGCTGTGCTGTGACATATGATTTTGTAAACAGGTGAAACTATGAAAGTTCGGCATAATTTTAGTTGACTAAGTTTATAATGTTTTCAGGTGCTACCCCTTGCACGAAAGAACTTCAGCTTTAAAAGACAACAAGAACTTCTCTACCAAAGCCTGTGTATAATGCCCTTGAGATTGATTGAACGTGTTTTGCCGTGGTTGGCGGCATCTTTAACAGAAGACGAAGCTAAGAATTTTCTGAAGAACTTGCAAGCTGGAGGTACAATCTACTGTTTTAATTTTTGACGAAACTTAACATTTTTGTCAAAAAATTATTAGCTACTCACAATCTTACACGGTTACATGGTTTCCTTGTGGCCTCAGCACCTAAATCGGATGCCGCTCTCGTTACTCTTTTCTCTGGTTGGGCATGCAAAGGACGCAAAGCTGGGGAATGCTTGTCACCAAATGGGAATGGTTTATGCCCTGCTAAAACACTAAAGAACATTGAAGAAGTCGACCTTCAGTCATGTAATGCTTGTGCGTCTGTGCCATGCTGTAGTAGGAGTATAGAATCGTGTTGCCAGCATCAGGATAAAAGGCCAGCTAAGCGAACTGTTGTATTGGCTTGTGAAAAGAATGCCACCCCTCACTCGTCTGAAGTCGCAAATGGGTGCAAGCCTTCTGGAAATGGTAGGTCATGCTGTGTTCCGGATCTCGGAGTTAACAGTGATTGTCTGGGACTTGGTTCTCTTCCAGCAGCTAAAGCTATGAGATCCTCTGCGCTAAACTCTGCTGCGCCCGCTCTCAATTCCAGCCTCTTTGTTTGGGAAATGGATAGCAACAGCTTTGGTACTGGACATGCCGAGCGGCCGGTTGCTACAATATTCAAATTTCACAAGGCCATAAGCAAAGATCTGGAGTTTCTGGATGTTGAATCTGGGAAACTCATTGATTGCGATGAAACGTTTATTCGTCAATTCATTGGTCGGTTTCACCTACTCTGGGGTTTCTACAAGGCTCATAGTAATGCTGAAGATGATATCCTATTTCCAGCGTTGGAATCGAAGGAGACACTTCACAATGTCAGTCACTCTTACACGCTCGACCATAAACAGGAGGAGAAGTTGTTTGGAGATATTTATAGTGTTCTTACTGAACTTTCAGTTCTTCATGAGAAGTTACAGACTGATTCTTTAATGGGGGACGTAGCTCAAATTGACACTGTTCAGGCTGATATTGATGACGGTGACTGCAAGAAGAAGTACAACGAGCTGGCTACGAAGCTACAAGGGATGTGCAAATCCATTAAAATCACGTTGGATCAGCATATTTTCTTGGAGGAACTGGAACTCTGGCCTCTATTTGATAAACACTTCTCCATTCAAGAGCAAGACAAGATTGTGGGTCGTATAATCGGGACAACGGGTGCGGAAGTTCTTCAATCTATGTTACCATGGGTGACGTCCGCCCTTTCTGAAGATGAGCAAAATAGAATGATGGATACCTGGAAGCAGGCAACCAAGAACACAATGTTTGATGAATGGCTCAATGAATGCTGGAAAGGATCACCCGACTCATCCTCAATAGAAACATCCAAACCTATCCTACAGAGAGGTAACAGCAATTGCCTAACTATTTTTCACCAACTTAATATCTAGCTGGTATTTTATGTAGACCTTAAATGTTTTAGCTTTGGACTTCATAACTCATACTTTGGCCGGCTGCTGTAGTTTCTCTCTGCTAAGTTTATTTTGCTTACGTCAAGCTTATTTTCCGTATAGATAATGATCATCAAGAAATCTTAGACCAAACTGGTCAACTATTTAAGCCGGGGTGGAAAGATATTTTCCGCATGAATCAGAACGAACTAGAGGCTGAGATCAGGAAGGTCTATCAGGACACAACACTTGATCCAAGAAGAAAAGATTATCTAGTACAAAATTGGAGGACCAGGTCAGATATCTTTTAATATTTCCCTGCACGTATACTTCATTCCACATTTTCGTGCATACCTGACTTAAACTTAGAACCTAAATCAGTAATATATCCCATGTATTATTTGAAAATAAAACTTACATAGTGGAAGAGTATACGAGAATGCTCTTGTATATATTGATGTGTGTGTGTCCTTGATTGAACAATCTTCTGAACAATAGCGAACCTATAATCTCATTCACATTTCCCTCATACCCGGATTATTGTTTATTCTGGAATAACATCTTATTTTAAACTTCGGTTGTTGGTGATTTTATCAGTCGATGGATAGCGGCTCAGCAAAAGTTACCTAAGGAAACAGAAACTGCTTTAAATGGTGAAGTCGCATTGGGATGTTCCCCATCTTTTCGAGATCCCGAGAAGCAAATATATGGATGCGAGCATTACAAGCGTAACTGCAAGCTTCGGGCTGCATGTTGTGGTCAGTTGTTCACTTGTAGATTTTGCCATGACAAAGTAAGCGACCACTCCATGGATAGGTAAGATCTTATGCCAATGCTCCCTACCTCTATTGAATCTCCTCTTTTGTTTTTCTTTCTCAATGATATGACTTTATATTTGGAACACACTACAGAAAATTGGTGACAGAAATGCTCTGCATGAGGTGTCTCAAGGTGCAACCTGTTGGCCCCATTTGCACAACGCCTTCATGCGACGGGTTCCCAATGGCAAAGCACTATTGCAGTATTTGCAAACTTTTCGATGATGAACGGTAAGCAAAACCCAACAGTTTGATGCATATAATAATTAATTACGCCATTTGGGTTTGTCAAAAATCAAACTTGAAAACTATTCTAACCTTCAGAAACTGTTATTATTCTCCTTCAGGGCTGTTTACCACTGTCCCTTCTGCAACCTTTGCCGGGTCGGGGAGGGACTGGGAATCGATTATTTCCATTGCATGACATGTAACTGTTGCCTGGGGATAAAGTTAGTAAACCACAAGTGCCTCGAGAAAAGCCTCGAGACAAATTGCCCCATCTGCTGCGAATTTCTATTCACATCGAGTGAACAAGTGAGAGCCTTACCATGTGGCCACTACATGCACTCAGCTTGCTTTCAGGTTTGCAAATCTCTCTTTTTGTCATTAAACTTAAATTTATATTTTTATCGCCTTAAATCAAAACAATTGCTGTTTCTCCGGTCTCTTTCAGGCTTACACATGCAGCCACTACACATGTCCAATCTGTGGAAAATCACTAGGAGATATGGCGGTAAGATAATCCCCGTTTCTCAGAGCACAATCTACAAATCACACCATCACAAATATCATTCACTTAACTATTTCATCTTCGTTTCTTTCTGAAACTACACAGGTTTATTTTGGTATGCTTGACGCACTGTTAGCTGCAGAAGAGCTTCCAGAAGAATACAAAGATCGCTGTCAGGTGAGAAACACTAAACTGCTGTTTCTCGACTGTTTCTTTGACTCTTTCAGTTCACTGGATGACACATATACAAATGTTTCAGGACATTCTGTGCAATGACTGTGAACGCAAAGGAACTACACGGTTCCACTGGTTGTACCATAAGTGCGGTACATGCGGTTCTTACAATACCCGTGTGATCAAGTCCGAAACAACCGCCCCAGACTGCTCAACCTCATCTTGAAAACAATGCGAGAGGTTTTTCACTCTCGTTTCACTTTTTTTTTTTTTTCTTTTTGTTGGTTTTACTTTCTGTCTCGCACAACAATGTGAACAAGTTTTATAACAAAAAATGCCCGTTGATAGAATTTTTATTTGTATAGTCTCTGAGATGTTAAGATTTTGAAGAGTCGTATTTATAGGTTACCCATACATTTTGGCTTTGGGCAAAGCCAAAACTCGTTTGTTTCTGGAACATCTACATTCCCCCTTTCTCCACATATCCACTATTTATTTTTATTTTTTTTCCTTTTTGCATAAGCTGAAACTTTTTTTTTTCGTTGAAGAGTGTAAATAGTTACAATTTTTACTGTAAAAAAAAAAGCAGATTATTTCCTTTTATTTTATCCTTCTTATCTGTGCATTTCATAGTTATAAATTTGTCAGAGCTTGTTATAAGAAAAAGACAGCCTGTATGATGTTGTTAATTGTTTTCCATAGAATGATTATTTCTCTTCACTTCTAGTAGAAATCAAAACTAAAAATGCCACAGATCAATTAATCTGAGCTTAAAACAACTCTGATTGATTTACTAGTTACAAAGGGATGGATACAAAATCCAGGAAAGAATCACATAAGAAAATAAAAGACAAGAGATTGTCGTCCAATTAGCCTAGCCTAAAGAGAAGTAATAGCCAATGAACTTTACAAAATGTTCACGTTCTCAACATGGTCTAGAGAGATGTGAATTCTCCTACGATCCCTTATCATTCCTTGGATTTCAACTCTCCTGATAGTATTCTTCTCGATGTTGTAGTAGAAGACATAGAATTGGTCCGGTATGTGTTGCACCGACAACACGAGGTCCGATTTGTATTGCGGCGACAACACGATTTCATCTGTACCAGTCACTCCAACAAAGTACAACACAGTCCTTGCAACCACATTCTTCAACATAGTGGGCACTAGGTATATATGCTTGGACCATTGATGTTGCTCAGCGTCTTGTAGAACCCATAACTCAAGACATGAACTTTCGCCAGTAACATACTCAAACCCATCCGACGAAAGAACACTCAATTTACCCTTGTAATCTGCAAGAGTTGGATGCCGAACTTCTGTTACTAGCATGTCCTCAGCTTTGTTGATGAATCTAAAGCTCTCAGACCTAACATCAAAGCAAACAATCCCAGGAACGCTTGGAGGAGGGACAAAAGGGTGACGTTTCACGTCATGAGCCTCATGGACTAAAGCGTGATAATAGACACAACCATTGATGCATATCCCACCACTTAAAGGATAATGGGGTATGGAACAATCTATCATCTTCCACGAAAGCTTCTTAGTCCCTAGTGTCAAGATTTGGTGCTCGACACAGCTCTCTTTCCAATAAACCGTCGATGTCATGCACAAAACCTTGAACTGTTTACCAATCGGATCAAACCCGAAGAAGCTTTTCACACCAACCCTCCTCGTCTTCACTTTGGGCAAAGATAACGAATGTCCCGTGGTCAAGTTCCATATCACCGGCACTGTATTCTTCGTACTCGCGCTTACGACCCTCAGATACGTGAGACAGACCAAACCTCGGAGGGGACGGCATAACTCAGAGCAGTCAAAGCGGAACACCATGTGATGTTTAGCGGCCACAAGAATCGAGTTCTCGTCTTGATTTTGGATCTGAGGTGCCGAGTAGAAGACCAGCTTACCGTTTTCTCGGAAGGAGAACAAGATTCGAGGTCGAGCCGAGGATTTGGTCACGAACAGATCCGTGAAACCTCGGCTGCGAAGCGTGGAAGCCCAGAACTTTGATAAGCAGAGGCATCTCGCGACAGACTTTGCCGGCGATCTTGAGAGTATCTCCATGATGAGATCGTTTGGGATCGGGTCTGGGTTTTGGATTCGATTCGTTGAGGTACAAGATCCGGTATTGCTGCCTCGAGAAATTGTTGGAGTTGGACTATCCTCAGAGTGCTGCCGCCGTGTTTCCATGGCGGAGAAGCCAAGATTCACTCGCCGGCGAACTACACTGGTGATTCGCTTCCCGCGACTTCTAATCTAATTAGTTTAGCCGGAAACTGAAAATTTCATTACTAATAGTACTACTTTTGTCTACTAATTACTAGTAACGAAAATAAAAAATTCAAAATTAATCATTTGAAGATATATTTTTTTTTTCTTGGCTAAATAAAAAATTTGAAGAGAAAATCAGTTCTCAGTTTGAATAAATATTTATTATGTTTTGCATGGAAGTAACTAAAAGATAATTGATTAACTGCAAACTATTTTTAAAACGAAACCAAATGACGAATTTTGAGAGGTTTTTCACTCTCTTTTCACTTTTTTTTTTTTGGTTTTGCTTTCTGTCTCGCACAACAATGAAGAAGTTTCATAACAAAAAAATCACATAATATAAAATCTTATTATATGATTTTAATCCTCTCGGAGTTTGAAAATAATTAAAAGTTAAATTAGTTATTTTAACAAATTAAAAGATAAATACATCTATTTTTTAAACGAAACCAAAGTGTGCAATGACAAATCTTGAGCAGTGATGGTTTTCTATATGGATTTTACCTCTGTAATTGAGCTAGACAAAGGTCATTAAAATACGTATTTCTACTACGGTTACATTTGTCCTCCTCGATTACTCTCAAATGTTGTATAATTATTTTGTATATATTTTAGTAATTTTTTAAAAAAGATTTTGTATATAATTTTTATTAGGTGTTTTGCATGCATCTTGCATAAACTCCAAGAGGATTAAAATCATATAATAAGATTTTATATTATGTGAATTAATATAATTAGAATAATTGAGACGTATATGATCAAAATAGAATAAATTCATAAAATTAAACACCTAACATGTAATAGTAAATAAGTTTTAATTTTTTTTTTAAAAAAATTGTACATAATTTGTATATAAGAAAATAAATTATCCTCTTTAAAGTTATTTCATTTACATATTCATCTTTAGTCATCATGATTCGTGAATACTTTAATTGGTAAAAAAACTTTGAATAATTTATAGGCATTAATCTGAATCTGAATTTTGGTTTGATTTACGTTTGAATGTAATATTTCAAGCTACGTTTACCTTTGCCATTAACCTACTTAAACAAATGAAAACAAACCAAAATAAAACCTACTCTAAACCAAAAAATTCTCCTAATATATGGACGTATTTTATTATGTCGAAATTAAAGCTGATTTTAGACGAGTCGGAAATCAAGATTTGACAGTTCCTAGACTCATGGAAATGCGTAAAAAACACTTCCCTGAGATCTTGTTCCTGATGGAGACGATGAATAAAAGAAACGTAATGGTAGATATGCAAGTGTGGCTTGGTTACGATGGTGTATATACTGTTGACCCTGTGGATAGATGTGGCGGTCTGGCTTTGTTTTGGAAGAAAGACATTACAATCGACTTCAAATTTGTAGATAAGAATGTAATGGATTTTCATGTACAGTTTGGGTCTCTTAGCTTCCTGCTTTCTTGTGTATATGGTAATCCTAATGTCAGTTTTCGACATATGGTGTGGGAAAGATTGTTAAGGATTGGTATTCAGAGAAAGGAACCGTGGTGTATGATTGGTGATTTCAACGAAATTCTACACAATGGAGAAAAAATAGGAGGGCCGAGAAGAAGTGATCAATCTTTTCAAGGTTTCTCTGATATGATTAGTGGTTGTGGAATGATTGAACTTCCAAGTACAGGCAATGGATTCACCTGGGGCGGTAGAAGATGGGATCTCTGGATTCAGTGTAAATTGGATAGAGGCTTTGTGAATAAGGAATGGTTGAGAATCTTTCCTGCGTCGAATCAAGCTTTTTTGGAAAAGAGAGGGTCTGATCATAGACCGGTTCTGATGAAGCTTCAGACGTCTCAAGAATCGTACAGGGGCTCTTTTAGGTTTGATAAAAGAATGTTACATAAGCCTTTGGTCAAAGACGCTATTTCTCAAGCATGGAGTGTTCCGTTGTCATCCTTTCTTCCTACTGTCTCTGAAAAGCTCAGAAGATGTAGAAAAGCTTTGAGTAAATGGAAAAAGGATAATGTCACTAACTCCTTGGAAAAAAACTCTCAGATTCAAAATGAGATTGAGAAGGAGCATGCTGCGATTAAACCATTTTTGTTTGTCTTATGCACTGAAGGGTTAACCCATCTCCTTAACAAAGCTGAGCAGTCGGGGTTGATCAATGGAATTCAGTTCTCTCCTCATGGACCTGCAATTCATCATCTGTTGTTTGCTGACGACAGCTTGTTTATGTGTAAAGCAGATGAAAACCAGTGCCACACTCTCCAACAGATCTTGTATTCTTATGGTTGTGCAACTGGTCAAGTCGTTAACCTGGATAAATCGTCCATAACCTTTGGTGAACAGATTGATGAGAGTTTAAAGGTCAAGATAAAGAACATGATGGGGATCTCTGCTGAAGGTGGAGCAGGAACATATCTCGGGTTGCCCGAGTGTTTTAGTGGATCGAAAGTCGACATGCTGGCATACATTCATGACAAGATGAAAGATCGGCTTTCTGGTTTCTATGCAAAAAATCTTTCTCAGGGAGGTAAAGAGATTCTTTTGAAAACAGTGGCCATGGCAATGCCTGTTTTTGCTATGTCCTGTTTCAAATTGCCTAAGTCATCCTGCAAGATTCTTACGAGTACTTTGGCATCTTTCTGGTGGGATTCGATTGAGAACGTGAGGAAAACCCATTGGATAGCTTGGGACAAGATCTGCCTGCCAAAAAATCAAGGTGGTCTTGGGTTTAAAGATATCCAAATTTTTAACCAAGCCTTACTTGCCAAACAAGCATGGCGGCTTCTCCAGAACCCCGATTGCCTCTTTTCCAAATTCTTGAAAAGCAGATATTATGATGAACAAGATTTTCTTCAGGCTGGAATAGGAGTTAGACCATCATTTGGTTGGAGAAGTATCCTCCATGGAAGAGACTTGTTAAAAACCGGATTAAAGCAGATGGTGGGAAATGGGAGATCTTTGAGTGTTTGGACATCACCGTGGGTTGATGATGGAATTATGAGAGCTCCTCTAATGAAGAATATCTTTGTGAATTTGGATTTAAAAGTGGAAGATCTGATTGACTTTGAATCCAGGAAATGGGATAGAGATCAATTAGAGGAGCTATTCTACCCTAGAGACACTGAAATCATCATGAGGAAGAAACCGGTTTGTTCCTCCAAAGATTTTTTCTGCTGGAAATTTAATAAAAGTGGGGAATATTGTGTAAAAACGGGGTATTGGCTAGCTCTCCAAGATCAGAAAAAAGAGGTTATCAGAGAAGCTTCTATGCAACCTTCTCTGATTGGGCTAAAAGATATTGTGTGGAGTAGTTTGGCTCCTGAAAAAATCAAGATTTTTCTATGGAAAGTGCTAAGTGGAGCTATCCCAGTTGCTGATAAAATAACATCAAGAGGAATGAAAGTTGATTCTAGATGTCAAACATGTGGTCTTGAAGGTGAATCGACTAATCATGTTCTTTTTACATGTTCCTTGGCCAGGCAAGTATGGGCAATGTCAGATTTCCCAATCGTTGATAATGGTTTCAATGCTGAATCTGTTTATCAAAACGTCTTTGATGTGATGATAACAGCGAAAAATAACAGAGTGCCGATTGAGATTAGAAGAAGATTCCCTTGGATCTTGTGGATGCTTTGGAAAAACAGAAATAAGCTGTTGTTTGAAGGTCTGATTTACAAAGCCAATGACACAATGGAAAAGATCAGAGAAGACACTACTCAATGGTTCCAAGCTCAAGCTTTTGGAAATACGGAAGACATTAAAAATGCTAAAGCTGAAAAGAAGAACAGAGTTAAATGGTTACCTCCTCCAAAATGGTGGCTTAAATGCAATATTGGTTCATCGTGGGACGAAAGGAAGAATTTGAGTGGAGCGTCTTGGGTGCTGAGGAATAGAGAAGGTAAAGTTTTGTTGCATAGTAGAAGAGCTTTTAGTCATGTTGCAACCGATGTTGAAGCACATGTGAAAAGTTGGCTATGGGCAATTGAAAGTATGAAAAGCTTGAAAATTATCTCAGTCATTTTTGCGGCTGAAGCTTCAGAGTTGATAGGAGCTGTTTCTCGACCTCCAGCTTGGCCATCCTTCAAGGTTTTTTCTTCTGAGATTCTTGTTGCTTTGAATCAAGGGGCTTGTCCTTTGGATTCAATTTTTGGTTGTTTATAGGATTAAGCCTTCATGCTCGTTTGGTAGCATTTGGTTTCTTTCAGGATCCGTTGTTGTAAACTTTTGAAAACTCTGTGATATCTATATAATCTTTCAGATGAAAAAAAAAAAGACGAGTCGGAAAAATAATCGATCAAGTACAACGTTACAATCGCGTCTCTCTCTCTCTTTCTCTCTTCCCCGAATAATTCGAACAGAAAAATAAATAAAAAAGAAAAATTTCGAGAGAATAAATACACAACGAAAACAAAAAAAAAACAAGAAAAAAAAAACTTTGAACTTGCTCCAAAGGAAACTCACCAAATTGTAAAAGAAAGGAGGAGACGACGAGAAAAAGGAATCTTCTTCACGGCACAAAGTTTCTTCAATTCAATCAAATCAATGGAATTTCCTCCGCCGCCGCCGGAGAGATCCAAACGCCTCCACAACTTCACCTTACCTTATCTCCGATGGGGTCAGCAGAGATTCCTCCGCTGCGTCAAGCTCCCTCACCATCGATCTCCTTCTTCATTTCCTTCTTCTTCTTCCTCTCCTTCTCCCGATCATAGATCTCCCGGCGTTACTGGAGGAGGAGTGGTTATCTCCGGAGGTGAGTTTGCTCCCGGAGACGGCAAGCTAAGGCTCGATCTCAAGGTTTCGGTTTTGGGAAATGGAGGAGGAGAAGCAAGGAACGGCGATGAAGTCGCCGTCGCGGCAGCTCGGCCGTGGAATCTGAGGACGAGGAGAGCTGCTTGTAACGAGCCGGGAGATGAACCGGCGAGGATCGCCGAGTCTTCTCTCCGGAGACATGAGATTGGCGTCAAGAGAGGTAGCGAAGATGGTGGTGATGGAGATTCGAACAAGAACGAGAAAGTTAAATTCTCTGTTTCTTTGTTGAGAGAAGAAATCGAAGAGGATTTCACAGCCCTAATTGGGAAAAGACCTCCTCGAAGACCAAAGAAGAGGCCAAGGATGGTTCAGAAGCAAATGAATGTAAAGTTTCCCTCTTTTTTTTTTTTTGTTCGATTTCTCTTTATTGATGTGTTTTGCTGCTTAAGTTTTTCATTTTGAATTTCCTTTGCAGACTCTTTTTCCCGGATTGTGGTTAGCAGAAGAAGTAACGGCAGGCTCTTACGATGTCCCCGAGGCTGCGGAAACATGAAAGGTGATTCTCGTCCAAGAAATTGTATTCGACTTTGTTTTCTCTCTTCTTGTTTTCTACTTTTGAATCTTTCCGTTGTAAAAAGGAAGAAAGAATGTAGCAATGTGCCCAGTTTTAGTGAAATGAAGCCATTTTACTTTGGTTTCTTAATATTCTTCTTTTGTTGTAAAAGAGACAAAACTGTGGTTTTTTCATTACCAAAGCTAATTGTAATCTCCTTGGCAATGGAATATCCAGCTGTTTTGGTTACAAATAATGCAGCTCTCTGCAACTTTTTGGTCCCTGTTTACTTTTGTTCTTGCCTAGCATTAGCAGCTCAGGAGTAACTGAAATTGGAAAAGATTATGCCAAAAAAAAAAATCTGATCTTCCTAACATTGAGCGTGTTTGTGTCAAGAACTTACCGAGCAGCAATGTTTCTGCGGTTGGATATTTTGACAACTTTGCATGGTTCAGACCAAGCTTTTTTTCACAACAACATCTCACCATGTCCAAGGTTTCAGACAGCTTTCTCTCTTTCTCTGGTAAGCTGAGTAACAAATACAGCTCAATTGCTGCAAATTTGATGTTCCATTGTTTACTGTTGTATGAAAAAAAAAAAAACTCTAGTTACTATTTTGTAAGATAATGCAATGGTGATAATACACTGATAATGATCTGAAAAATCTTCAGAAACCTTCTTGTTCTTGCATTTTCGTGCTTCACGGTCAAGAACTTCTCTGCAGTTAGCCAACGGTTCTGTAGAATATCAAAACCAGATTGCAGTTAAAAGCGCCATGATCAAGCAGTTATTGAAAGACTTGAAGGTGGTTCACGTTAGCAGTCTCCAGCTTAGGAGAAGAGAGGAGAACGAAAGAGAGAATAAACCGTACCTTTGGACAAAGAAGTAGAAGGTAAGGTACTTATTCAACCCTTAAAATCTCGTTTTAGATATTATGTTGGATTTTTTTTTGTCTAAGCTCATTGTCTCTTGCAGTAGTGGTACACCACAATCATTATTTTAATAGATGTTTTCAACCTCTAATCCATAGACTTAAGAGTTTTAATCTCAAATATTTCTCAACATTATGATCTCCTAAACCTTCTCCTTCATCATCTTCTCATGGAAACATCGTTTCCTTTACGCAAAAGTCTCTGAGCAGAGTTTCATGTTCCCTCCAAAACAAGGTGTGTTTTCTTCATTTACCCTGCATTTCTCTGTTTCTCATTTGTTTCACTAAACATGACCGTTTGTTTTTGAAAACTCCAGCAAAACGGACCAATCATCATGATTATCTGTGCGGAATCAAATCACCAGAGGATCTCGTTCGCGGGTGATCTCGGCCAATCAGATAAAGCACCTCCTATGGAAAAACAACCATCAGGCCCTGTTCGAAGAGACACAACACTTTTAGATTCATCAAACCCTGATTTCGAGTTCCACATTTCCAGAAACTTCGACCCCGGAGATTCCTCACCAGCTGATGAGATCTTCGCCGACGGGATGATCCTACCGATCCTTCCTTTCCAAGTAACTACTGCATCCTCCATGCCAAAACGTCTCTACAAGTACGAGCTCCCTCCTATCGTCTCCGCTCCTTCCTTATCTTCCTCCTCTCTTACTCCTCAGCCATTGCCGTTACCCCAAAACTCGAGAAAATACAGCAGCGTCAAGGAAACTAACGGTCGTGGGAGCGGAGCGAATTCGGACTCGGAGGCAGAGAAATCATCAAAGTCGTTTTGGAGCTTCAAGAGAAGCTCGAGCCTTAACTGCGATATAAAGAAGAGTCTGATCTGTTCATTTCCTCGTTTGACAAGAAGCAATTCAACAGGATCAGTGATGAATTCTAAGAGGGCAATGCTAAGGGACATTAACAAGCATAGCTCGCAGAGACATGGAGTTCCACGTCCAGGGGCAGATCACTCATCTCATTTGTCTTCTTCTTCTTCATCTCCTTCCTCTGTCTGCTGCAGCTCGTATCAGTTCAGGCCACAAAAGCACGCCGGAAAGAATGGCGGCAGAGAAAAAGCAGGAGGAGGAAGCTTTCGGATTACTCCCGTGATCGGTGGTCCATCTCCGTTTGGTTTAGGATCGATCTTACGACTTTCGAAAGAGAAGAAGACGAAGAACAAGTAATAAGACTTCTTTTTTTTGTTTTAAACCCAAAGTAGGAACCTTTTTTACGAACTCATTGTTTTATTTTTGTTTTGGGTAAAGCATGAGATTCTGCAACAATATCCATGTAGATACATTTTATTATCTGTATCAGTGATAATGATGCTGATCAGTGATAACTCGCATGTTGTGTCTAATGCAAATCTTGATTGATCTATTACTCTCTTTCTTTTTGTATTTTTTGTATTTCTTCAGTTTCTCAGTCAAATAGTGTTCACCCACAAATTTTCCTTAATAGGTAACTCCTGCAAGCTCCATGATCGCAACCATATAACCATATATACGTCAAGATCCATTCTAAACCCGAGTTACAAGGTGTCTAAATTCCTAATCCTCAAAAATATCATACAAAATTGGTCGGTGAAGACAATAACGAAGCCGTGAAAATTCTGTGTACAGGTTACAAGGTGATATTACTCATTCTTGGAGATGGTACTGAGAAAGGAAGTTTTGATATGAAGAAGATCGATCTTGCCATTCGGATAGAAGCGTCTTGAACGTAAACAAAGCTTTTGTATCGAAATTCACATTCCGTTCTTCGAAGCAAATCTCGACCGGAGACATATCATCCAACACCTCAAGCCCTACTCTTCCTCCACCACCATGATCATCATTGTCTTTACAATGACGCACTTTGGAGATAAACGTAGTGAGTTCCTGATGTTCCCTGTCTGAATCAGCTGTCTTTGTGATCGGAGAATATGCAATGAACCGCTTCTTCTCCTTCTGTGAATACTCGTCGACCAACATGTCATCGCCAAGTGAAATGATTGTCTCGTCTACACCTGAGTTTGCCATCTCGCGGGCTGCTTTGGAGATTTGGTTGCACCGGTCAGAGAACTCCACATCCGGTGAGTACTCTTCTTCTGAATCCGGACAACCGCTATCGAATTTTTGTAATGTGAGGAGGACTGGAAGTGGAAGAACAGGACCAATGAGCTCAACACCGGGTTGCTCCTTCTTTGACCATTTGCTACTCCGGCTAGAAGGTTTCCTTAAGAAGAAAGGTGGTAACTGTGGGAATTTCGGAACAACTAAGAACTCGAGAGACGGTTTCTTCTTGTCTATCAGAACACCCTCAACCTCAGAGTAGCTTGAGAACGCAAGCATCAAAAGCTCCATAGGTAACCTTGACCAGGTTTCTTTCAATGCAATGTCGAAAACGCTTGTTTGTGAATTGATACTCTCGAATACTGCAGTAATAGAAGAGGAACATCTGTCTAGACCAAATCCGCAAATCTTCAACTTTTCGCATAAGTCCTCGTGGAAGTTTAAGTTAAAAGGATCACTCTTCTCTGAACCTGATGCTTTTTTACTCAACCTCGAGTCTAACAACCCGGCAAGAATCCCTTTTGTGTGAGCAGAGAGATAATCGAGTTCCAGATATTTGAACCGTCTCGGAAATTTGTATTTGTCATCATCAGGGAAGTACAATAAGTTCACCTCATCAGATTTGCAGGCCGAATCTACTTGAGCTATTACTTCCAAGTTATCTAAATGATCAAGAGAAGCACAGAAGTTGACTGCTTCAAGCTTCCCTGAGGATGTTAACCGAATCAAAGTAAACCCAGAAGCTTGATCTAATGACCCAAGTGGAAGGTGCTTGTTTAAAACGCCAAAGCCAAGAACAAGAACCCTCTTTTTCTGCCAATCAATCCACGCGGGAAGAGACTCCTTCATTATCACTTCTTTAATTCCACAATCTCCGCAGAGACATTTTCCGGCTGGTAAGAGCAGATTGTGTGGAAGCTCCCATACATACAAGGAAGAAGGATCCTTGGTAACAGAAGGAGAAGGTCCATAACAGAACATTTGAGATTGCGCATTCCAAAATGACCCTACTATAACACAGGAAGTATTTAAGTCATGGGTCTCAAACCCGAGATCGGACAAGCTATAAACATCCATAAAGCAAGGCTTCTCAACATCATGCTGCCATTTCAACAAAGGCACTTCTGACCTCTGATCACAAAGAAATAGATAGCTTCGAGAAGCAAGAATAAACCGAAAACAGTCACTACCAGCCTTGGCAAACGCAACAAACTCTTCTGTTTCAGCAATGTTCAGACTCCCAATTTCCAACAAAGATCTCACACTACAATTTCCAGAGCTTCTAGTGATAACAAAGACTGAATCGGATCGAGCAACGATAAAAATCCCAAATCTCCAACCAAATTCACATCCTAGCCAATTACGATTAACTGATTTACCTTGACCCTCCCAAGAAACTTTCATCTTGCAACCTCTGAATCTACCAAGATGTCTCTGGTTCAGATCAAACACAAAGACCTCCCCGTTTTCTAACAAGACTAAACACTCTCCAGGAAAATGAGGGCTCCAGGAAGCGCTCGCGATCGAACAACGCTTAAACTGCTTTTGTCCGAGGTAACTCAAAACCGGTCTGCCTAGAGATTCATCGTACTTGACAGAGAACCAATGAATCGAATACAGTGTATAAACCATTACGTATCCAAATTCCATCGAAGATGCTCCCAAATTACTAATCGGCTGCACAAATATCTTCAAAATTCTCGAAAAGAACCGCTCTTTCGCCACAAAGACGTAACCTTCGTCCGTACCCATGACCCGGATAGCACCCGAATCTCCGGTGGAAAGCAGAACGAACCCAATTTGATCGAGGTTAGACCCTGTGGGGAAAAACACCAAGACGCAATTTTTAACGGGGCAACGTAGAAGCTGGAGGCGATTATAGGAGAGAACCCTCTCGGCATCATCGTTAGGATGGGGGATACGGAATGAGGCCTCGATTGCAGAAGAATCCGACGGAGGTACGCCGGAGACGGCGAGAAACCGAGCGTGAGATAGGTGAGGGATGCGAGAGAGAATCGGAGGAGAGAGTGAGGGAGAAGAGAAGAGTAGCTGCGAATCTGATGGGTTCGAGAAGAAAGGAGTAACTGAATATTCTCCGGGAGATGAGACGAAGGCTTTTCGTCCCCAATCATCTACGACATCCATAGGGGTTTTTAACGGTGATTGGCGGCGAGAGGAGGTCGATTAAATATGGCCGATTTATTATGTACGGGAAACAATTTAGGAGCGCGCGGCTGAAAAGGCATAAGAGACCAAAAAAGTTAGCTGATAAACCATATCTTTAAAAATTAATTTCTTTATGAATTAATTTTATTAACAAAAACTAGGTAAATTATACCCTTCTCCCTATGTGTCTCTTTTATTACAAAAATATCAAAGTAAAACCCACCTGATTTATGTCCGACCCGAATACCAAAAAAAATAGAATTTCTGTAAAAAAAAAAGACTTTATCAATTTGAAATCAGAAATAAAAAATTGAAATTATTAAACCGAAAATTAGGTAAACAAAACCGAACCGAATGGATTTAATTTCCAAAACCAAACACATTCGATAAACTTACCAAAAATCAAATACGATCTCCTCTTTCTCTCTTCATCTTCCCCGAACGGCTATCTCCACTTCCTTCTTTCTTTCGAAAATTCTGCAATTTCCCCTTTAACTTGAAACGACACTTGATTTTGTAACTGCTTCTTCTTCAACTTCCCTTTCTTCAATTCCCATACTATATATTACATAATTTAGCCTTCTAACTTCATCAAGACAAACCCTAAATCCAGCCTAACTAGATAGCTAAAATTCGACTTAAGGGCGTGGTATATGATTCGAACGAATCTGTACCCAAGCGCAGCGAAGAAGCAGATATGAAAGATAAAGAACCCGGAATAACACCAAACCCTCTGGCGAATGATGAAGAAACAACCCACGAAGAAATTCGGGGTGAAGAAGAACCATTGAAGGAAGCAGAACCAGCCGGTACGGACAACTGGGACAACTAGGACAACTATTTACACAAAATTACGTTTGGCATTTGGACAACTGGGACAACTGGGATAACTGGGACAACTAAATCTCATATGATTGTGTTTCTTGTTTTTATCTCAGGATGCCGATGATGGTAGTCAACTGATGGTGCCTGAGAAGCTTTACTTCGGTCCAACCGAGTACAGCCAGGGTTTTTCACATGTTCAAGGAGCCCAACCACATGAAGCCAAGAAGTAAAATGTCTTGTTTATGTTTAAGATTATGTGTTTTTCTTTGTGGTACAATCTTATGTTTTCTGTTTAGGGTTTAGGACAACTGGTACAATTTCCTTGTTTTATTTAGGACAACTCGTACAACTTCCTTGTTTTATTTAGGACAACTCGTATAACTTAATGCGATATATTAGGACAACTGGTACAACTGCGTTGTTTTATTTAGGAGAAATAGTTCAAAATAAATCAAAGGAGAGTAGCAACATAACAAGGGGAAAAAAGGTCAATAAGAAACTGAAAAGCTCATCTTCTTCATCCTTAACGCTTTTTTATAGCTTCTTCAATGGATGCCACCTTTGACTCTAACTGATTTAACTTGGAGAAAACGGTGTCAAACAAAGCCCGCATGGCTTCTTGAGTATCATTCAACATTTCAATTTCTTCGAGTATTGCGAGATCCCACCATTTCTTGAAGCCACAACTGGGAACCTGAAATCCCGAAACTCAGAAATTCAGATGAGACTCAAATTATAAATCAAAATTGAAAACCCAATTGACTTACTTCTGGGAAATTTTTTGGGCCACAACAGTCGTAGAAGCAACCGTAATATTTCCGGCCCCTGTCAAGCCCGGAGTTGTCAGTTAAACACCCAATTGGAGCTAAGCCGCAATAACAAACCTTTGGAATTCCCTTTTGTACAGGGCATGGCAGAATGGTCTTGACTCCATTGACTTCGGGTCCCCATCTAGTGGTCATCCCGTAATCCTTCTTAGGCAAGACAGAAGAAGAGCCATCATTCTTCTTTTCAGCCAATTTCGCGAGGGCTATCTGATATTTATCCATTATGCGGTGAAAACCCTAAAAAACCTATTTGGGGGCAACAATTAGGAAAGAGAATAAGAGGAGAAGAACCCTTTGACCCTTTTCTATGAAAGAGAAAACGGTAAACGACAACCAAAAAAGACAAATACAAAGGAAAATAACTTATAATATTATCCTCAGCCGCTATTCTCACACGTGCATTTTCTGTTGACATCATAGTTGTACCTAGTTGTCCGGTTGTCCCAAAATTGTCATAGTTGTCCTTTGGACGATTTTTAAGTTTTTTCAGTTGTCCTTTAAGAAGAACATTCTTTTTTTAGTTGTCCCCTTAACCCTTGAACATTTTATACTTGCCCCAAGGGTTTCGCGCCCATACTTTTGTATTTCCCATATTTTTACGTTTAACCTCTTATAAGATGGAAACCATTGTCAAAGAATGCCTTATACCATAAGGGTTATTTCATTAGAAACACAAATGGTATATCTTATTTTCAGAAAATAATGGGTTTATTTTAGTGTTTAGTGGTAGTCGTTGAGTATACAGTATTTAAGGGTTTAGTGCTGTATTTGTTTAATGTTTAGTAATTTAAAGAAATTAGTTTGTCCTGGTTATCATAGTTGTCCTAGTTGTCCTAGTTGTCCAAATTGTCATAGTTGTCGTAGTTGTTCTTGTTGTCCTAGTTTCTCACAGTTGTCCCAATTGTACCAATTGTCCACTTTATACTAGTGTGCCTTCTTTTGTCCTAGTTGCAAATAGTTGTCCTAGTTGTTCGTAGTTTGCCTGGGTTTGGACGTAAATTTTTAGGTTGCACCTAATTTTTAGGTTACAAATTACTCCAAAATACATAATATTGCAAGAAATCCAAGATAATGAAAATATTCCATTACTCTTGAATCTTATCTCTTTCCAAATCTTCCATTATCTCCACATGCAATACATATCTAAGTCCCTCTTTATCCACAATTGTTAGATAGACATACACATCACAATCATCAACAATACATGACTCATTGAGTGGCTTAGCTACCAACGGAATGTAGCTTAACTTGAGCTTCTTCTTACTATCGTTTACCCCAATCTTCTTGCATATACCATCTACAACCATCAGATATGTTACCTCATCCAAAGAGGTTTTAAATGATATAGCATAGATGGAGCTTCTTGATATCCATTTAAACTCCTCTCTTTCCTTATAATAACATCCTCCATACTCAAAATGTATGTTTGTGTGGCCGCTCATCCTCTTCTGTTCACAAAACCAAAAAAAACTAAGTCATTAACGAATAACAATATTTCCTATTTTCTCACAACTGTACCAATTGTACCAGTTGTTCCACTTATCTCAATCAGCAGGTATTGTACCAGTTGTCCCAATACATTCCGGGTCCCAATTGTCCCAATTGTCCCAGTTGTCCCATTCCTTTCAGTTAACCCAATTCAACTCAGTTATCCCATTTGTACCAGTTGTCCCAATACATTCCGGGTCCCAATTGTCCCAATTGTCCCAGTTGTCCCATTCCTTTCAGTTAACCCAATTCAACTCAGTTATCCTAATTGTACCAGTTGTCCAATTCTATTCAGTTAACCCTGTTGTACCAGTTGTCCCATTTCATTTAGTTACCCGAATTGTACAGGTTTTCCCATTACAGTCAGTACCCCAAATGTACCAGTGTCTTTTTCATTCAGTTAATCCAATTGTACCAGTTGTCCCTTTTCATTCAAGTTAACCTAATTGTACCAGTCTGTCCCATATTTCATGATTCCTATACAAACCTACGATTCAGCTCGATTCAACGGCAACAAGTTCAATTTTAACACTCAGAAGACTAAATCGACATATATACGCCACTCTACTATCCAATGTGCAACCTAAAACGAACGGAATTGACAAATCGATTACTAAACCCTAATCCCCAAACTGTAGAAGAAGTTACCTTATTACCAAATGACGGCTCTACAACGAGATTTGGCGAACACCATGGGTTCAGAGAAGGCCGGCGCACCGCACCGAGCGATAATAAACGAAGACGGATCGGAGATTCGATGGACGATTTCTGGGAAAAGATTTTCGATTTCGGATTTCGGTTTAAGATGTTAACCCAGAAATTCAGAGAAACCAGATTCGGTTTTGGTATTAGAATTTTAGAATTTTCATTTCTCAATTTTTTTTTGATTTTCGATATAAAAAAACAAACAAAAAATCAGCAATGCCATATTCCTTTTTCATTAAGAGTATTTTCGGAATATCATGTGCTTTAGTTGTCCTAGTTGTTCGTAGTTTGCCTGGGTTTGGACGTAAATTTTTAGGTTGCACCTAATTTTTAGGTTACAAATTACTCCAAAATACATAATATTGCAAGAAATCCAAGATAATGAAAATATTCCATTACTCTTGAATCTTATCTCTTTCCAAATCTTCCATTATCTCCACATGCAATACAGATCTAAGTCCCTCTTTATCCACAATTGTTAGATAGACATACACATCACAATCATCAACAATACATGACTCATTGAGTGGCTTAGCTACCAACGGAATGTAGCTTAACTTGAGCTTCTTCTTACTATCGTTTACCCCAATCTTCTTGCATATACCATCTACAACCATCGGATATGTTACCTCATCCAAAGAGGTTTTAAATGATATAGCATAGATGGAGCTTCTTGATATCCATTTAAACTCCTCTCTTTCCTTATAATAACATCCTCCATACTCAAAATGTATGTTTGTGTGGCCGCTCATCCTCTTCTGTTCACAAAACCAAAAAAAACTAAGTCATTAACGAATAACAATATTTCCTATTTTCTCACAACTGTACCAATTGTACCAGTTGTCCCACTTATCTCAATCAGTTATCCCAATTGTACCAGTTGTCCCAATACATTCCGGGTCCCAAATGTCCCAATTGTCCCAGTTGTCCCATTCCTTTCAGTTAACCCAATTCAACTCAGTTATCCCATTTGTACCAGTTGTCCCAATACATTCCGGGTCCCAATTGTCCCAATTGTCCCAGTTGTTCCATTCCTTTCAGTTAACCCAATTCAACTCAGTTATCATAATTGTACCAGTTGTCCAATTCTATTCAGTTAACCCTGTTGTACCAGTTGTCCCATTTCATTTAGTTACCCGAATTGTACAGGTTTTCCCATTACATTCAGTTACCCCAATTGTACCAGTTGTCTCTTTCCATTCAGTTAACCCAATTGTACCAGTTGTCCCTTTCCATTCAGTTAACCTAATTGTACCAGTTGTCCCATATCTCACTGATTCACTATACAAACCTACGATTCAGCTCGATTCAACGGCAACAAGTTCAATTTTAACACTCAGAAGACTAAATCGACATATATACGCCACTCTACTATCCAATGTGCAACCTAAAACGAACGGAATTGACAAATCGATTACTAAACCCTAATCCCCAAACTGTAGAAGAAGTTACCTTATTACCAAATGACGGCTCTACAACGAGATTTGGCGAACACCATGGGTTCAGAGAAGGCCGGCGCACCGCGCCGAGCGATAATAAACGAAGACGGATCGGAGATTCGATGGACGATTTCTGGGAAAAGATTTTCGATTTCGGATTTCGGTTTAAGATGTTAACCCAGAAATTCAGAGAAACCAGATTCGGTTTTGGTATTAGAATTTTAGAATTTTCATTTCTCAATTTTTTTTTGATTTTCGATATAAAAAACAAACAAAAAATCAGCAATGCCATATTCCTTTTTCATTAAGAGTATTTTCGGAATATCATGTGCTTTATGACACTCAGACTTATTTATAGCAGGGTAGATCAATTTTTTTTCATTTATGGCTTCTCAGCCATTAAACCACAATTTAGTGAGAGAGCAAGCAACTTTTTTTTTTTTTTTTGTCGGCGAGCAATCAACTTCTTTTTTATAGAAAGTGAAAACATCCTAAATATATTGCTTTTGTTGAAAAATATTGCCATTGTCGCTAGAACCAAATTACTCCATTGGAATGGAGTACTAATAATTATTTTAATTCGATATGTTGGAGTGTAGATTAATGAAATTCTTTCATTTTTTTTGGGTCATAAACATCTTTAAATTTCCAAGTCTTGGCCAAAGAAAATTCTTGGATGGACTGTGTATGTGTGAAAACAATGCACAATTATGATGATTTGCGGAAATCAGAAGGAAAAAAAAAACATTGCTTTAAAAAAACTCTCGAAAAAAAAAGAACATTGCTTTGGAAAAACTCTTGAAGAAGATGAATAATAATCAATAGATAGGAACCAAAAAACTCTCGAAAAAAATGAATAATAATCAGACTCAATTTGCTATGGAAATTTCTGCTGAGAGCATTGGGTTTATGGAGTTGATATTCTTAAGCTATGGATGACAAAAATAAAAGAAAAGAAAGCAAGTAGTGCTCATTTCATAATTTGATGATATACAGTTTAAAGTTTATTCAATAATTATTGAAAGTAAATAGTTGCACAAAAGAGCTACAAAATTGGAAAAAGGTGTAATTGGCTATGAAGTGATAAATTTGGAAAAAAAGAAACAGCTAAGCCATAGTAACCAGAATAATACAAATGATAAACTGGTGAGTCAGGATCAAGATCCAAGGCAACGAGGCCTGATTGATAGGTAAGCGAGAGGATGACCTTATTGTTGTCCCTGCATAAGGCCAAAGGTGTAAGAGGGTGTGAAGTGATACCACCAAACCAAGTGGAAGTATAATTCAAGTCAACCGAGAATATCCTCTCCCAGGTGTCTTCTTCTTCAACCCTCCACGGCTCCACCAAAACTCTTGCTTACAATCTCCCTTGAGCTCGGAAATGCAGAGACGACCATCAAGATTACATAAACCAATTCTGTCACCAGAGGCATCACGGGTAATAAAAGGTGGGGTTGCGGTGACTTGAAACATCTCTGTATGAATATCGAAAACTATGAGCTTGGTTTGTGTTGATGCGTATCCTTGTTCATCTCCCGTAAGCCAGTTGAATGATCCGTTCGCAAACACTGGCCTCTGATTAGATAAGATGTGATGATGATCAAGAGGTCTGGTAGTCACGAATCTCCAATTATCTCCATGTATCGTGTAAATCGAAAACCTCGCATCTGGTCCTCTTCTTGCTGTTAAGTAAAGCAGGACCAGTAAGAGCAGGATATATATTATATAGCCACACTAGCTTATATCTTCCTGTGACGCTGTCTTTCCCAAATCCAAACCGAGTAAATGATTTGAATGGAATTGGAACAGGACGTGGGTCATCATCATCGACTTCAACTGTCACCACCTCCAGCTCCGGGTCCGGATGGTCTATATGAACCACACTTCATAATTATGCCACTGAGTGGGAAGATGCATAAGATGATATTTCTCTGTTGAAAAGTCAAATCTGAGCAAGCATTTGTCGGGCGTTTCTGTTACACCTGTAGCAAACCAGTAAGTGTTTCCATTCAAATCTGAGCTGTATTGAGTGTATCCCAAGAAACCGCCTTGAATGGCATCATCATCAAGATTAATAAGATTTGGATTGATATCATATATTTGGAAGATGTTTTTCCCAAAGACATTACACACATATAAAAACTAAACCCTAACAGACATTGGCTTACAACAGCACACTGCATTGGGCTAGGACTTGAGCTTGTGTTCAATAAGAATCTGAGAATCAAGAGGTTCAAAGACAATTCCTGGATGAATCAAGAATTAAAAGCCCTAAATTGATCGACAATTCGAGAATGAAGCGTCCGGATTTTGAGGGCAAACACTCTAGTTAATTTCAGCTGTGATTTTTTTGGAATGCATTCAAATTAGTCAGCTTCTCCGATGCTTTTCTCTCTAGATTTGAGGTGCTTGACTAGCCTCTGTGTTAATGTCCAGAAATTTTAGATTAGTTGATCAATGAAGCAGTAAAAATCGCATAGTAATCTATGTTTTTTTTTTCCTTAATTTATTTGGATTTTTTAATGATTTGTATCAAACCTACCGACCAACTCCCTTCAGCTTATTAAAATATTGTTTGCATTGAACTCAATTAGGTAACATAGGTAAGGAGTTTTGTTATACATCTTTTAAACCATTAGAAACAAAAATCACATATAAAACTACCTTGGGTTTTTTATTTTTGCAGCCAAAGTTGGTCATTGATATATGTTTGGAGCATTTAAATTTATAAAATTTTGGATAGCCAATTTTCACAGATTTTTTATTAGTTTATATAGTTTGATAATGTGATGAATGATTCAAATCTCATGTTCAAAATTAGTACACACTTTTTCTGTTTTAGACTTTTAAATCTTCAAAAACTCTGAATAGGTTCTGATAAGACTATACAGATGGATTCATCTTTTCTAAAACAATACTCTAATAAATTGTGTTTCTAAGGTTTTTAATCACACTTTTTACTTTCTCATCCTCTTTGAGAGTCTAATCTAAAGAAAACAAGTTCTTAGAATCGTTCTTTGCAGGCATCACGAGACTGCCGATGAATCATTATGGACCACGAGATTCGGATCCAGTCGATAGTCTTGTATTTCTCAACTCCGGCCAGAAGTTTGGCGGGTCCACATGATTAACTTATGAATTTTCTCTTTAGGTTAGCTTATTTTATCAAGGCATGTAGGTTGATTATATAGACACATATGTTTTTCTAAACATAACGGTCAACTAGTTTTAGAAAGTAACCGTTATAATTAATTTACAAGGATAAAAACATTTCAAATTTTTATATTCAAAAAACATTTAATTAACTCAAGCTTTATTTCTTTTTTCCATTGTTTTGCAACTATTAATTACAATCATAGATGTTGTATATTATTTACTTGTCACTGAATTAGGAAACACACTCTCTCTACACATCTGCTGCACGAGCAAGGAACACTTGTCTGATAATACCACATATTCTTAATGAAATATCTTTGAGAAGGATTACTCAAAGATCATGACCATGATAAATTAAGAAAATACAAACACGCAAAAAACAAAATAAAAAAAAATTACTGTAGAGTTTAAGAAAAATACAAACATACCAAAAAAAAATCATAGATATAATAAGATAATACTTTTAAGTTGTTTAAACATTTTTTTATATCAAATGCGACATATTAAACTCATATAAATAATATCACTAACCCTCAAAATTTGTGACCTTACTTGAACAGGATCTGTTCTATTCTGTTCTATAGGCTCGTACCTCTGTATTTATCAAAAAAAATATGATCAAAACCCTTAACATGCATTCACTTTATCATTTCAGTCATTCCCTCTAAGTTTTTAATATACATGGATAAGTACGTTGTTTCTCATTCATCACAGCACACATCCCTATAATCTACACCCCCTAAACTAATGTGAAAATAATTTTGTGATGATGAAAACCACAATTCCAATATATTCTTCGCACGAGGAGGATTATATCATCTAGTTTATCTTGTATGCTACATGCATTAAACTTGTTCCCCGGTCTATATTTACTAATCACATTAGGAATCTTGGAGTTGGGGGATATAGTCTCTTCTCAAAACATTATATCGCATTACATTTACATTAAACCTGCGCCTATATAACACGTTACTAAAAATCGTAAATTGCTTTAGTATAATGTTCGATATAACTGATACGAGGTTCTCGACCAAATCCTACAACCATAGATGATGAAGTGACAAACATTTTACTTAGTCCGGAAACATCTTTATTAGTTTTTATAATGCAAACTAACAAAGGACTCTGATTGGGTAGAAACCGTTGAAGTTTGCTGACGTGGATTATTTTCAAATAGACACGTGTAGGGATAAGATTAGTTTAGATATGATAAAGTCAACTGATAAAATCGGAACCGTTGAAGTTTGCTGACGTGGATTAAAACCACGTTTTGCATCACGTGTGACCGTGTCTTAACCAGGCCGTGAACGATATTCGGCTACCGTCATCCGTCGCTCCTCTCCTCCTCCGTCTTCGTGGATTTCATTTCTCCTCCGCTTATTTCCCTTTTCGTTAAATTCCATATCAAAGCAGAATCTGAGAATCTAGAGTGCCCAGAGGATAATTCTTGGATGAACCAAGAATTAAAAGCCCTAAATTGATCGACAATTCGAGAATGAAGCGTCTCGATTGAGGACAAACACTCTAGTTAATTTCAGGTGTGATGTTGTTGCAATGCATTCAAATTAGTCAGCTTCTTTGATGCTTTCTCTCTAGATTTGAGGTGCTTGACTAGCCTCTGTGTTAATGTTCAGGAATTTTAGATTAGCTTTGAGGTTGATCAATGAAGCAGCAGAGATCGCATAGTAGTCCATGTTTTTTTTTTGCCCTTAATTTATTTGGAATTGATTTATGATCAGTATCAAACCTACTGACCAACTACCTTTCAGCTGAATTGCAGATAAAGTTTGCATTGAGAATATTTGGAATACATATAATCGGTTAATTTCTTGAATGATTCTGTTGATTGTATCAGAAAAAACCAGGTCTGTAACAAGGTAAAAGAAGGTTTGTGCTATGTCAAGCAAAACTCGGAATATGCTGGAAGGTTTGGTTAAAGATACTTCTTTTAAATGGTTGCTCGGGAAACAAAGCTCCTTCGATGAAGAAATCGAAGAAATGGGAAGTTCCCCATCTGCTGGCACCAGTTGGATACCTGAGCTTTCTCCTGTGGCCAATGTGGTTGTCCGCAGGTGTTCAAAGTAAGTACTCTTCATCTGTATCTCTCATCCATAAGTAGGCAATTTGGATTGCAGTATGAATTTACATGGCTCGTAAGGGTTTGTCTTGTTTCAGTAGTGCCGGCTTTGATCAAGATAAGCTAGTTTATTTTCCGTATTTTGATGTCGATTAGTGATATGATGCTGAAATAGTTTGCCAAAGAATGAGTTTAGTATAAGGTTCCACAAGGGATAGTTCTAACTAAAAAATGCATTTTACAGAAAGTTTTGGGTTTTGATTAAAAGGAATAAGATTAGATAGACATACTTCAATGCATGTATTTGATGCAGAATGAGGCTACTGATCTGTCTTATTGCTATTGATGCAGAATACTCGGTGTGTCTGCAAACGAGCTGTGTGATAGTTTCAAACAAGAGGCATTTGAATCTCTGAAGCAGCCCTCTCTATTTGCAAGGAACTTTCTAGAGTACTGTTGTTTCAGGGCACTTTCACTCTCTGTGGGAGTAACAGGTCATCTAGCCGATAAAAAGTTTCGGCGTTTAACCTTTGACATGATGGTTGTCTGGGAAGTCCCAGCTGCTGCTAGCCAGGCTTTGCTCAGCGTAAGGCTCCTTTTTTTCTCATTCTTTTGCAATCATTATAAAAAAAAACTTTTCTTTATCATCTGTTTCCTTTGATACAGGTAGATGAAGATGCAACAGTGAGTTTAGCAGCCTTCTCACGGATCGCACCGGCAGTTCCTATAATAGCTGATGTCATCATATGTGAAAATCTGTTCGAAATGCTTACTTCATCAACGTGTGGTCGGCTCCAGTTCTCTGTTTATGACAAGTATTTATATGGACTTGAGAGGTTAATTTTCTATCCTTAGAAGCCGAACTCCTGTTTCTGGAATCACTTTGTCGACAGTTTTTTTTATATTTTTTATCTTACATTATAGAGCAATAAAGAAGATGAGGACTCAGTCCGAATCATCTCTGCTTTCTGGTGTTCGATCAAAAAGAGAGAAGATTCTGGAAATAGACGGGACAGTTACTACCCAACCAGTTCTTGAACATGTTGGAATATCAACTTGGCCAGGTATTCTTTGTAATTTCTCGATATTCACGGACTTGGCATGTGTGCGTACCGCTCACTATTGCCATGATACTATTCAGGTCGCTTAATCCTGACGGACCATTCACTATATTTTGAGGCCTTAAAGGTCGTGTCTTATGACAAACCAAAGCGATATGACCTATCTGAAGATCTAAAGCAAATAGTTAAACCCGAGTTAACTGGTCCTTGGGGCACTCGGCTTTTTGACAAGGCCGTTTCTTACAAGTCTATATCACTGTAATGCCGTAAACTGATCGCAATCTCTGATACAAACCGAAATATGCTATGTTTTGTGAATGACCAATTAACAACTTTCATTGGCTCTTTTTTCTAGATCAGAACCAACGGTTATGGAGTTCCCAGAGCTTAAAGGCCACACACGCCGTGATTACTGGCTCGCTGCAATAAGAGAAGTTCTATACGTTCACAGATACATAAACAAGTACAAGATCACGGGTTTGGCAAGAGACGAAGCACTCTCAAAGGCTGTACTTGGGATTATACGCGTGCAAGCTATCCAGGAACTCAGTTTGACAAAGTCCATATGTTACGAAAATCTTCTACCGTTCAATCTCTGTGATCAGCTTCCTGGTGGAGATCTGATTCTTGAGACGCTTGCTGAGATGTCTAATTCAAGAGAGATCCATCGATCAAATAAATCCAAAGATACAGGTTACACCACTTCTTGTCAAAATAATTTCTACCTAATGGTATTTTCTTGATCTTGACCAAGAGTGTGATGACTGAAAGCGTATGCGTTATAAGCTGAAATCTGCGAGGAAGTTAATGTTTAATGTATATGTAATTTATTTACCAGGGACATTACACTCCTCAGCTTCAGATATGGTTTCACAACTGGGTTCTGTGTTTGGAGGATCGAGTCCAAGGAGCAGAACAAGTGAGAAGAGTAGTCTTGTGGTAGGTGAAGTAGTGGTCGGAGATGTGAATCCATTAGAGAGAGCAGTGAAGGAGTCGCGTAAGAACTACGAGAAGGTTGTTCTTGCGCAAGAGACGATAAATGGAGTCAAAATGGAGGGCATTGACACCAACTTAGCCGTAATGAAGGTAAACATAAACAAAAATCATTTTAAACCGCGTTTTATCAAATGTTTATCTGCATTTTCCTTTTTTTTTTGCAGGAACTGGTGCTTCCAATAATGGAAACCGGGAACCTGGTTTTGTCTCTGGTGTATTGGGACGACCCTATGAAGTCTGTTGTTTTCTGTCTCCTGTCCACTTTAATAATTTGGAAGGGATGGCTTGTTTATGTCTTTGCTCTTGCGTCTCTACTCTCTGCAATCTTCATGGTTCTCACAAGATTTTTCAGCAGAGAAAAGCTCATGGTCGAGCTGAAAGTAACCGCTCCTCCACCTATGAGCACAATGGAACAGCTTTTGGCGGTCCAGAATGGGATCTCGGAGCTCGAACAGAACATTCAAGACGGAAACATCGTTCTTCTCAAGTTCCGAGCTTTATTATTCTCGCTTTTCCCGCAGGTCTGTCTATCCTCTTGTTTTTTAATAACACAAAACGCTTCTCCTACCTCTGTGTTTTAACTGCGATTTGAAACCTCTGTTTTCAGGCGAGCGAGAAGTTTGCATTTGCGATGGTTGTTGCAGCTACGATGATTGCCTTTGTTCCAGGACGCTACTTGATTCTGGTTGTGTTTGTGGAGCTATCAACGAGATACTCGCCGCCACGAAGAGCGAGCACCGAGCGGCTGATAAGGCGGTTGAGAGAGTGGTGGTTTAGTATACCGGCGGCTCCTGTGATCCTCCAACATGACAAAAACGACAAGAAGAAGAAAAATTAAAGAAACGGCCGTTTTTATAGTTGCACAGCCGGTACTGTATGTACATACATATTTCCTATAGATACTTATGCATGTATGCAACTGATTTTGTGTGTAAATGAGTAAATCTTTTGAGCCAAATATTAAATTCAATAAATTATTTACAAATTTCCATTAAGACTTAAGAGGTTTTTATTCTTTGATAAAGATGTTTGTAACGGCTTTTAAACTCTTACCAGAAGAAGTTTTTTGCTTACACTTGAACATTCTTTTTTTCTTTTTCTGCTATCCATTATTAAGAAAAAAAGAGTCTATAGTAGAAATTAGAAAAGAATTATGAACTTGGAAGATTGGAAAAAATAAAGAGATCTCTGTTGATGCCAAAAAGAAAAAGTCTGAACTAAGAAAATGGTCACACCAACAAAGTAAACGGATCCATTAACTAATACCAAAATTTATTAGTTCCATTTTCAGAACTTACTCCAATAAGAAAACAACAAAAAATTATTTTCCTGAATAGGAAAAAAATAAAAAGAAAGAATCGAATAATGTAATTTCTCATGGAAAAAACGTGGTAACTGTTAAAAGTCACGAAACTCCGTCAAGCCATCGAACCCAGAAGAGGAAGAAGAAGAGAAGGAGCTCCTCGTATTAGGCGCGAAGTAAAGCGGATCATCAAAATTCGCAAACGGCTGATTCCCGCAAAGAAAATTATCCGCCGCCGGTGGAAAAATAGAAAACGTCGAGAAATAAGCTCCGTAGTTAATACCTGCCGTATCGTACATCGAAAGAGACGGTGGCGGCGACGGCGGAGGAGGAGGATGAAGCGGTGGAGGAATAGCCACCGCCACCGCCACCGCCGAATACGGAAGAGACGAATTAACCTGTCCATGTTCTCCTCCTCCAATGTTCTCATCTGTTGTGATCACCGACGACGATTCACTATCTTCACAGATCGTCGCGTTATTGAAAAAAATTCCCTTTCCGTTACCGGCTCCGGCGCCGGAATAATTTCTATTGTAACTGTTATGGCCACCGCCGCAGCGATTCCGGTTGCTTTTTCTGTCGACGGTGAGATCAGAGACGCTCTGGTTGATTGATTTTCCTCCGCGATCCGTTGTGCCGCCGGAATCTACGTCGGAGCGGGACATTCCGGTGAGTTTTTGAACGAGAGACATGAAATCTTTTGGATTAGTGTGTATAATTTTGGGGGTGTTAGTGTAGATGATCACTGGCTGGCGAGGCTTCGCGGCGGTGGAGGAGGATGACGACGGAGACGGCGGTTTTTTTATAACGTGAGAGTCTTTGTTGAGCTTTAGCAATGGTGACGGCGACGGTGACGGAGGATAAATAATTCCGACGCCGGCGCTAGAGTTGTTGTCATTAGGTTCTCTCTTTGGATGGTGGGGATGATGGTGGTCGTTGAACGTTGAGCTCATTTAACATAGAAGAAAATTAAAGAAGTAATTGTTTTTGATTAAATAAATATTAACGAATCATAACCAATCGAAAAAATTATTAAACGACAGTATTTTGATTCATTAGTAACTTTGGGGAGATGTGGAAGTGGAGGAGGAGAGTGGCTTTTTATAAGGTTCTTCTTTTGCCTATGCCTGCGAGCCACGTGTCTTCTCGCGCGTTTTCTAAGTGGATAGTTTGCACACGTGTTTTTGTTTTTAGTGAAAAGTTTTTTTTTTATTAGGCTAATACGGTTAAGCAATTTACTCCACTAGATTGCTGAAATCCAGGTTTAAACTTTAAAAAGTTGATGATAAGTTGATAACTAAGTGATTCATTTAGATAATTAGTAGAGAAAAATATGGATCTCATTGATAATCACATATTTTTTTTCTTTTTTTTTTCTTTGTTTTTCTTTCATTTTTGATGTTTAGCTCCGTTATCTATAACCGTGGACAAATAGTTTTTGCCAATTGAGGACAAGAAAAGAATCGAATGTGCCATTTTGATCGCAATTACGATTCTGGACAGAATAAACCGTAAGGTCCGCAACCACATAATCATCATCATTTACATAATTTACACATGCACAGAGTCTGATTCTGAATTTTAACAATGGCGTCCTCTCAAGCTCCTTCCATGTTCCTTTTTGGATCAACTCGACCTGATTTCTCTTCGGGTACTTGTCTCCTGGTTGCATCTTGAGTTTTGCTTGAGTTTGCCTCTGTTCCAGATTCTTGCTTGTAGAAGATGCGGTAGACCATGAGAATTTGATTATGGAACAACTATAAAATCTTGTCTGAAAATGCTTGTGAAGATAATTAATTTAAATCCCTTTTTGGAATCCTCAGCAACATTATGTTTTGTGGGTGTAAAAGAAACTTCATTTAAATTGCATTATTCTTGCTAGTTAGCTGCAACTTCATTATTACGCCATTATAGTCTTTTTTCCCTGACAAGTGTTTGCTTCTTTTGAATAAATTTCTACTAGCAAACGTTCTTACCTCGTTTTTGATCATGTTCCAGATAGAAAAGTAATATATCGATCGTAAGATGTTCCGATCTTGAGTATGCTAAATAGATGATAGCTGCAACTGATGCTGTGAGGACAAGGGGATTCAAGTTTGGAGTGTCTTCTCATGTAGATAGATAGAGAGTTTCACAAAGTAAATTTGTATGTAAATAAATCTGCAGGTACATTTCTGACAGATAATGAGCACAAGTTGTGTGTATGTATCTTAATATCACTCAAGCAATGCGGTCCAACTTACTAACTTTAGCAATTCCTAATTCACAAATTTTTTTCCCATGGTCTGTACTATTCACTATCGGTAAAGATTTGAATATTTGGAATCGACATGTTTTACATATAATAAGTTCATATAACGTGTTAGTTCTAACTTCTAAAATATAAGAAGAAAAAGGACGTCCATTTTAAATCGCATTAAATAAAACGTACAATATGTCAATAATTAGGGGCTAGGCGAAATGACTCTTTAACTCATTTTCAACCTGTTAAACATTAAGGATTTGGAGTCGGGTTACGAATTTCAATACTATACGAATATACGTGTCTGGATCACATGGTAAACGACGTCTAAAATATAGATAAAAATCCAATAATTATCAATCTGAATCCTTTAAATATATTGTTATTTAACTTATGTTGCTTGGATTGTGAAGTATCTGGATTTTAAAAATTGTATTGATTTAGATCTGATTTTTGAAAAATATTTTACAGATCTTGAGTTTAAGGGAATAACTTTAGAAATTTGGATACAAATATGTAATTTTTGCATGAGTTGGGGGAATTTTTCAGTGGGCTCCTGTCTTTACATATACCAGTTTTAAAGGGTTCGGGTACGACTAATAAATGATTTTATCTACACAAGTAAAACTGAGCAACATTAATATGAAAAGTTGTAGAACATTTTTAATAGTGCTCGTCCTTGAATAGAAAAGGGGAAAAAGTATTTAGAAAATTTGTATCGTGTCGTATTAAATTAGACGAAAATCCACCCAAAAAAATCTGTTAGAAGAAACTGACAATATTTTATTCTTTGATGAACACTATACAACAACGATAAAACAAAATGTGCCGCTCAGATCTAATCGTTTTTTGTTTTTTGACAGAATGCCGCTCAGAAGTCAGATCTAATCATCACGCGTCTTTTAGACAATCCGAAATGTCAACGGTTTAAATGTCTAAGTATGACCAGTGAAGTGAACAGTCAATAACAGCGCGGCAGGCACATCGGACGGTCGATATTTTTTTGCTATTATTTACAAACGGCCAGGATTTCATTATGACATGGGACCAAGTAAAACTTTATTAAAACTATGATAGTGGAGCCTTTTATTTTTAATAATAAATCAACAATTCGAGGCGATGACAAAAAAAAAAAACATCAATTCGGATATTCTTTTTTATATCAAAAATATGTATTCACATTTAGTATTTTATTTCACTCAAATATGATTAAAAATCTGATAATATGACATAGTAAATTAATATCATTGGATCATATTTCTATAAAAATAAGAAGACTTTTCAGGTATTTCCTTTTTTAGTTTTTTTCTTTCCTGCATATACTTAAATTAAATAAAACAGGCAGAATTTGTGTGAGGTTTTCCTTCTAACACTGTTCATTCTGTCTAAAGATCCGTTACCAGAAGCTGAGAGTTACCGACAAGTAACTTGGGAGATCGAAATTCTTGTCTGAGAGGACCTTCTTATTCGAAACTTCGTCCCACAGACTTTTCAGATTTTCCCAGAAATTTTGCTGTTCTTCGTGCACTCAGGAGCAAGAAAAAAAAACAAATATCTCGACCCACCGGTGGATCTGTGAAGTTTGTCGAAGAAATCAAATGCTGGGTTTAAAAGGAGAATAAGCACCGCAAAGAAATATCTCTTACTTTTATCTGAGTAAACACTTCAGATTCCAAACTTGACTCAGAAAGCTTTCAGTTTTTCCCGGAAAAAAAAGGGAAATTCCCTTGACTGACCATGGATCCTTGAAGAAGCTTGAAGGCAATTTGAAGCGATGGTTCGGAGGATTAAGAGGAAAGGTTTCATAAACACCGAAGCTGCAAGAGAATTTCTCAATCATCTTGTTGCCGAGAGACATTCGCTGTTGTTGCTGGTTCCTTTGGTCCTAGCTTTCTGGGCAATAGAGAGATGGGTCTTTGCTTTCTCCAATTGGGTTCCTCTCGTTGTAGCTGTTTGGGCTTCTCTTCAGGTAATTTAGCCAAAATATCACCTTTTTCGTAATCCATTGCTTCCTGGATTCAGGCTTACAAATTGATGAAGTCTTTTCTTGTTTTAGTTTGTCCCTTTTCATGGGTTCTTGCTAAACCACCAGTTAATTTGATGGTTCATGGATACTATAGAATCCTCAGATAAAGTTTGAAGCTTTATGCTTTTTGTATATAACTAACTTTTACAAGTTTGCCATATACACACAGAGTTTGATCTTTCAGATATAGTCATGGTAAATTGCTATTCATGGAAGAGTTATAATTTTTAAATATTTAAAGTTGAATTATGTGATTCATCTATTAGCTAGAGCTTTTATCATGTTTTTGTGGTATACTAAAAAAGTTGGGGGTTTTATTATGCTAATTTGGTATATGTGGAAAAGTTTTAATCAATTTGTTCATATGAACACATCTGTTCTGCGCATTAAGTTAAGATGTTTCAGTTAAAAGTCTAGCTTTGTTTTTTTTCTTTACTGTGTTCATATGTTTCTCTGCAGTATGGAAGTTACCAAAGGGCACTACTTGCAGAAGATCTAACCAAGAAGTGGAAGCAAAACGTGTTCAATGCGTCGGTGAGAATTTTTTTTTGGCTTGTTTTTCTCCTGGGGAATTCTCATTCGATTGTTCGATGTTATAAGAATACCACGTTGTTGTTTTTTCGTCTTTCTTTCAGACGATAACTCCATTGGAACATTGTCAATGGCTGAACAAGTTACTGTCTGAAATTTGGCTAAACTTTATGAACAAGAAACTCTCTCTCAGATTTTCTTCTATGGTAGAGGTAAGATTCATTCTTCTTTATGCTCTTTTTACCTAAAATGTGTTTTCTGCCAAAATTCTTTTAGACATAAACGGTTGATCCTTTATTATCTAAAACGCAGAAACGATTGAGGCAACGAAGATCAAGACTAATAGTAAGCACTCTTTCCCCTTTCCCTGAGACCTCCTTAAAAGACTTTAGACTAAGTGATGCTAAAATTTTAATCGGTTATCGATAGGAAAATATACAATTATTGGAGTTTTCTCTTGGCTCCTGCCCTCCTTTGCTAGGACTCCATGGAACTTGCTGGTCGCAATCAGGGGAACAGGTTTAGTTACTTCGTTGTCTTAAACTGCAAATATTCGAAGAAAAGGTTGGATATTGATTTTTGATTCTGTTATCTTTCCCTTTGTGATTTAGAAAATCATGCGATTAGATTTTAATTGGGACACAACGGATCTAAGCATCTTGTTGCAAGCTAAGTTGTCCAAACCGTTTAATCGAACAGCACGAATCGTTGTCAACAGTCTTTGCATCAAAGGCGATGTAAGTGAAACCTATTGTTCACCACATAACCCTTTTAAAAGAGTAAAATTTTCCTGGTTTATTTACTTTCAATCTTGTTGCAGATTCTGATCAGACCGACTCTTGAAGGAAGAGCAATGCTCTATTCATTTGTATCGAACCCTGAAGTTAGAATCGGAGTTGCTTTCGGTGGTGGCGGTGGCCAATCTCTTCCCGCTACAGAGCTTCCCGGCGTCTCCTCTTGGCTGGTTAGTTTCCTTTTTTCATTTTTTACCGCCAAAAAATAACTGACAAACTACAAAGGGGCAAAACCGTAAATATGATTCTCCATTTTTCAGGTCAAAATCTTAACGGAAACGTTGAACAAGAAGATGGTGGAGCCAAGACGGGGATGTTTCTCGTTACCGGCGACTGATTTACACAAAACAGCCGTCGGGGGAATCATCTACGTAACCGTCGTCTCTGGAAGCAATCTTCACCGGAGCGTGCTTCGCGGAAGCCCCTCGAGAAGTTCCGACATTGGAGACGGTAGCAACGGAAACAGCAGCAACAGTGGTGGTAGCAGCAGCAAGGACAAACCTGTTCAGACTTTTGTGGAGGTCGAGCTCGAACAGCTGTCTCGAAGAACCGAGATGAGATCTGGATCGAATCCAGCTTATCAGTCTACGTTTAATATGATCTTACACGACAATACAGGGACACTTAAATTTAATCTCTATGAGAATAATCCTGGGACTGTCAGAAACGACAGTCTCGCTAGCTGTGAAGTTAAGGTAATTAATCACACACTTTTAAGTATTTACCATTTGTTGCTGTTACGAGCCGTTTTTAATATTTTATTTTCTTGAAATGTACAGATGAAATATGTAAATGATGATTCAACGATGTTTTGGGCCGTTGGATCTGATAACGGTGTGATTGCGAAACACGCTGAGTTCTGTGGTCAAGAAATCGAGATGGTTGTTCCCTTTGAAGGAGCTAGCTCCGGCGAGGTATATATATATATATAAAAAACTAGACCAATACATTCTCTTCTTTTCTATGTCTCTTTTATATCTTGACCACTTGATCCTGTTTTGTTATATAGTTGACTGTCCGGTTACTTTTGAAAGAATGGCATTTCTCAGACGGCTCACATAGCTTGAACAGCGTTAATTCGAGTTCTTTGCACTCACTCGATGCATCTTCTAGCTTATCCTCGAAAACCGGCCGGAAAATAATTGTCACTGTTTTATCCGGAAAGAATCTTGTTTCCAAAGACAAGACTGGAAAATGCGAAGCCTCTGTGAAGTTACAGTATGCAAAAGTAAGTAATCTCTCTGCATAATTGAGCTTGAAAGAGTGTGCATTTATCTAACGTATTCTTCTTATGTGTATAGACTATACAGAAGACAAAGACGGTGAACTCTGCAGAGTGTGTCTGGAACCAGAAATTTGAGTTTGAGGAGCTAACAGGAGAAGAATACCTAAAGGTGAAATGCTATAGAGAAGAGATGCTTGGAACGGACAACATCGGTACAGCTACACTGAGTCTTCAAGGAATCAATAACAGCGAAATGCATATATGGGTTCCTCTTGAAGAAGTTAGTTCTGGAGAAATAGAGCTGTTGATCGAAGCTGTTAGTCCCGAGTACAACGAAGTAAAGTGTTTTGACATTAATCACACACACTCTGTTTTCTGTTGTTTTTTCTTCATTGATGTTTAAGTCTGTTTTCCTGGTTTATAATCGCAGGCGGATTCTAGTAAAGGCTTGATTGAATTGGTTCTTGTTGAAGCGCGGGATCTTGTGGCCGCTGATCTTAGAGGAACAAGTGATCCTTACGTTAGGGTTCAATATGGAGAGAAGAAACAGAGGACTAAGGTATTTAAAGAAACTGTTTTTAGACTCAAGAAAGACATTAGTAGGGACAAAGTAAGCAAAACTTAGAGATGCTTTGATGTTTTGCAGGTGATATTTAAGACATTGCATCCGAAATGGAACCAGACAATGGAGTTTCAAGATGATGGGAGCTCGTTAGAGCTATTTGTCAAAGACTATAACACACTGCTTCCAACTTCAAGCATCGGTAACTGCGTTGTGGAGTACCAACGGTTAAAGCCAAACGAGACTGCAGACAAGTGGATACCTCTCCAAGGAGTGTTACGTGGTGAGATCCGTGTCAGAGTCACGAGGAAAGTCACGGAGATTCCGAGACGCGCAAGCGCGGATTCTGGCTCTCCATTCAACAAGGCTCTGTTGCTGTCGAACCAGATGAAACAGGTGATGATAAAGTTTCAGAATTTGATCGACGATGGAGATCTTGAAGGTCTTGCTGAAGCTTTAGGAGAGTTGGAGAGTTTGGAGGACGAACAAGCAGAGTATTTGGGGCAGCTTCAGGGAGAGCAAACGCTGCTTATAAACAAGATCAAAGACCTTGGTAAGGAGATTCTTAACTCGTCCCCGGTTCAAGCACCGTCTCATTCTCCATCTCCATCAATGTCGGGTTCCTATAGCCGGAGATCATCAACGCCGATGTAGTCGGAATCACTTGTTTTGAGATCAACCAACAAAACCATCTACTGTATGATGTATTCTATTGTATATATAGATAGATATGTAGGGCATTGGATAAAAATGTTCAAAGAGAATTGAGCCCCTTTTTTTTTACTGGAGATAGAAAAACATAATCTGTAAGTTTCTTTTCATTTCCATTGTTATTCAGTAACAACAACAAAAACAGTTGTAATTGTTTGTAAAAAACTGTTGTTCTGTCTCTAACTTTCTAGTCTGAGAAATCATTTACAGAAACCAAATATCATTTTCTCCTCATGGTTCGTATTCTGTTGAGTATTGATCCTTTAATTGTTTCTGCAAAAGATAAAGAAGACAAGAATCAAAAGATGGTAATGAAGATTGATGAAAAGCTGAAGAATCGGAGAAGAAGAGCAAAGTCAACTAAAGGGAGTCAACACAAAAGGAAGATTTGGGCTTAAAGACATGTTTGTATAATGAGTAAATGGGCCTGCGAATCTACTTAGACCCAATCGTACAAGTAGTTAGATGTGTGTGTTTATTTATGTGATGATTAAATTTAGAGTATAGCTAAGGTCCTAAGATGAGTTGTTAGAGTCTAAGCAAGTGTAGTGTGGCTTGTGGAAGATAGTCTAAGTGTTAGAGTAGAGGTGCAAGTATGGTAAAAGTAAGTGAGTAGTAGTTGAAGTAAAACTAATATATGTATGGGAGAATATGAGTGTAGTGAGGTATGAGAAGAAAATGAAATGAAAAAGTGTTAAAAGAAAATTAACTTCTAAACGTGAGAAAAGAAAAACAAACTTCAGAGAAGGATAAGTGAGAATCACAACATATTCTCACTACAAATCTAAATGACTCAGCTTGAGGTACACATTCCCCAACTTTCCAAACAATACTCATTTGCGAATAAATTAACCCATATGTACAAGCATTTTTGTTTCGAAAGAGTAACTGAGATGATGAATTAACCGGAGTAAACCACAATTAAATCATCATACATGAAGGAATACAGTTTCTTCGAATCAGTGAATGTTTTTTTTTTTTTTTTTGGGGCAAACGACGCGTTTAGTTCTCATCTACAAAAATTTGTGAAGTTGGCGATCAGAGCTTCGGGACGCCGTCGACGAGATCGGAATCGAAGTAGATTCTACAAAATCTATCTTCCTCTTCGTCGTCGAATCTGCAAATTAGAAGGTTTTTTTTTCCTTATACGCATATTAGCACCTTCCAGTGTAAAAGGTTTCTCTGAGTTTGTGTCACATGTATTGTTCGCCTCCGTCGCGCCGGGTAAGAATACGGCCTCCTTAGATGAAGCGCCGATCAGTTTCGCGACCTGGATGTGTGCGCCGATCAGTTTCTGAAATTGAATTTCTTTGTTAAATTTTAGGCATTGAAGCACGAGGATTGACCAGAGAATTTCCCTTTCAAAGAAGAAGACTTCAGCGATTTGGCAAGTAAGATTACCTTACTATGATAGAAATTTCAAGCTTTTGTTTTGTTTTGAGTTGATGGAGGAATCGAATCATGGTTAACTGTGAATACTGATATAAGAAGAATCATATGATTATAAGATTTGAGTTACCTTATTCATCTCTATAACATGATACATTCTTCTCTGTCTAGATTAATCTCGCTATGGCGATTTGGAGACATAAAGTGTGGCGACATTTGAGCTCATTTCAAGGAGCTACTTACTCAACTACGCCTTCCAGAATCAACAAATCAATGCTTAACAACCTTAGAAAAATCCGGCCAATGATTCATAGAAGAATCGAAAATCGAGCAAAAGATTACCCAATTAAAGACATTATTCCTGTGGCTCAGGACATCCTTGAAGCCAGACGAAATCTACTCGCTAACGTCAACGTGCTTCTTAAAGTGTTTCCTGTCCTGACATGCAAGTAAGTTTCAGATTCTTTCTTTCCATGCTGTGTTGAATCAAAAACTCTGCTTTATACTGATGAAACTTAAAAACTTTTCAGATTCTGCTCAGAAGTATTTGTTGGCAAAGAAGGACATTTGATTCAAACATGTCGTAGTTATATACGGCGTGGCAACACCAAGCTACACGAATGGGTTCCAGGTTCCATAAACGATATACTTGTCCCCGTCGAATCCTTCCACTTACGCAACATGCATCAAGGTGTTATCAGACACCAACAGAGGTTTGATTATGACCGTGTTCCCGCAGTCTTGGAACTATGTTGTCAAGCAGGAGCCATACATCCCGAAGAAATCCTGCAGTATTCAAGATTTCACGATAACCCGCAAATCTCAGACGAAGATATGAGGAGTATATCCCCTGAAGATCTCAAATATGTTGGAGCAAGTGCTCTGATGGCTTGGGAGAGAGTTAGAGCTGGTCTGAAGAAACTCTTGCTTGTTTATCCATCGAAAGTTTGCAAACGGTGCAAAGAGGTTCACGTGGGACCGAGTGGTCATAAAGCTCGGCTGTGTGGTGTGTTCAAATACGAGAGCTACCACGGCACTCATTACTGGGAAAAAGCCGGCGTGAACGATTTGGTACCTGAGAAAGTCGTGTGGCACCGTAGGCCTCAGGACCCTGTGGTTCTTGTGGACGAAGGGAGGAGTTATTACGGACATGCCCCTGCTATCGTGAGCCTTTGTAGCCATGCCGGTGCACTTGTTTGTAACACTAAATATGCTTGCGAGATGAAGCCTCAAGGTTTATCTTTTCCTTTTACCTATTCAATTCTAAATCGCGAGACGTAAAAGAATAGTCCTGTTTGTAGCTGCAACCCACTGGTTCTCGTCCGTTTTTTGTAATCGATTTTGGTTTTTGGCATTGTAAACAATATCCTTAGAATAAAATAACCCACATGGTACAAGCATGTTTGTCTCAAAAGAGTAACTGGTGATGAATAAACCGAACTAACCATAATTATTCCATCGTACATGAGGATTTAACAAAATGACACAATACAGTTTTAGATGACTAGGTCATTCTGTAATATTACAAGAGCATATGGATCCCAAGTTAACCTCTATTGCTCTAACTAGTTACTGTGAGAAGGGAAAGAGAATACAACTGACGCTTATATCAATTCGCCCAAAATGTTGTTCTGCTTCTAGTCTGATCTAGGCTGAACCAAAGTGGTTGGAGGAGTGCTCATGCTCGGATCTTTCAGCTCGGGTGCAACAATGGGAGCTGAGGCGCCGGATTGTGAAAGAGGGGCTTTTGCAGCTGCGTCTGGAGTGGGTTTCTGGATCTGATTCGAGTTAGCAAAGTCGTTGGCGGCGCTGTGAAGTTGCTGTAGCCTGTAATCTGTCTCGGGCCGCCGGCAAATCTTCCTCAAGGGAACGATTTCCTGCTGGGAAAACGGAAAATGAAATCCAAAATATGTGAGTGAGGAGGGTTTGCTTTAGATTCCGAAACCATGAAACCAACTAGAGCATGACAAGTGAAAAAAGGGTTAGAGACAGCGAGAGATGATCGTCCAACCTCGGACTGGTCGTGGCTGTAACGCACCAAGAACCTACAGCGACAACCTCTGACATCGTGTCTTCTTCTTTGTGCATCAAGAACAATGGCGTCAAAGTAAAGAGCTTGATCTTTGCCTTCCTGGAAGATGTTATACAAATATGTCACATCGAGGATAAACTCGAAACTAGTTCATAACATCCATTAATGATTTACTTAAAGAGAAAGAAATTCTAAAACCTGGAAACAAAGTACGAGATCCCCAGCAAGAACTGCAACACATTCTGATGCTTCACATGGGAGTGACCGTTGTCTTACGTGCTTCTTGACGTTTATCCATTCGTCTTCTTCAACTTCAAAACCCGCAAATCGAACCTGCACTTCCTGAAATACCCAATAGAAATATTTGTTTACTAGCAAAACGAAGAAGTGAAAAAAAGAAGTCCGCTAGAAATTGGTTAGGCATTACCGGATCACCAATCTCCAAGTTTCTATGAGCTAGGAAAGCTTGCACATCATACCTGTACGTAAGCAAAAGATATTACATGTTAGAGAAAAACACTGGAATGTAATGAGATTGAAGAAAAGTATCATAAGTAAGCCAAAAATACTGAAGATCCAATGCAAGGGAAGGGAATCACCATGCACCATCCCTGGCTGATTTGGCTTCAAATTCCAAGTAAGAGTTGTCTGGACCACTCCTCATGACACCGGGAGCTAAGAGAAAAAGCGTTTAACAATTACAAAGGTAGCCTCTATGCAATAATACCCCATACTGATCTAGACTTATGTATAGTAAGTAAAATAGAAAAGTCCAATGAAACTTATTCAAATGAATAATCTTCTCAGCTTATTTGATTGCAAGTAGAGTATATAAGGCACCTAAAATATCGGACGGGGCAGGCGTCATGACAGGTAAATTTCCAGACATGTGAGTCGGTTTAGGACCGGCTAATGGAGGAAGCACATTCCTCATCTGATTTGTTAAATCCACACTGCGCGGCATGGAAGATACGTTAAGCTTCCCAGGAGCTTTGTTTCCCCTTGCTCTTAGAGCATATCGCCTATTTTGGAACCAGTTCCAGATCTGTGATAAAATAAAAACAGCATCCCATTAAGTAAAAAGAGGCAACTCCAACGTAGAATAAAACTCATGAGTCGTGAAAGAAAAAAACAGTACTTGCTTGAATTGCACCACAACATTTTTCGCCTTCCGCTCCGCTGATTCACTGAGACAGAGAACAAATGTAACCACTTCTTAGATGATAAACACACAAAAGTGCTTTTAAGGCCAAGGAATTGAGCTACATACCTAAACTTTTCAGCAAGAGCTTCAAGAACATGTCGACCTGGCATTGCTGTATTATGCTGTAGCAAAATTGCTTCCATCTCCGTTACCTTATTAACATTGAAGATTAGCCAAATCAAACAAGATAGAACCTCTTCCCAGAACTCACAAAACCATAGAACAACTTCTGGAATATAATTTTTCTTCAACACAGAGGTGTTCCTCAATACAACAGATAGATGGAAACACTTATGAATCTAACCTCTAACGCGTTTAATTTAATAAAGCAGAGCTAATGGATTTTCAGAACATTCATCGAAGGACCTTCAAGTCTCCCGTAAAATTAAAAAAAAATCGCTCCAAAACCAAAACTTCCTTCTAAGTTAGAAACCCAAAAGGCACTTCATGATAGAAATCAGAAAACTTCGAAAAGAGGAAAATTGAATTCGGTGATTAAAACTCAGGATCTAGAAACCCTATCATGAACCCCAAAAAGAGAGACCCAAACCTTCCCAGGAATTAGTTTGAACTCGGGAAGCTCGAAATCCATCTAGCAAAGCCAAACACATCACATTACAAAGAGAATATCATCAAAGATTCAATTACCTCAGGCAGGTTAAATCGGAACGCCGGACCGCCATTACTGGGAGGCCGACCCATGGTAGGTTTCTCTCCTTCTTCTCACGAGAACAAGCACGAAGCTAGGAAGAACAGCAATAACGAAAATTGGCGGCAGAAACTGAAATCAATCGGAGTTTGTCTCACTAAAATTTAGAATTTCCGGTGAATCACGCAAGGCCGGTGACTAAAATTTCGTCCGATTATATATAAACTGCGTAAACTTTTGTATTTTTTTAACTTCTAAAAATGGGCTTTTTAAAAGGCCCGTTAAATAGGCCCAATACAAGGCGAAGAAAAATCTTATCCATTTAGTCAAGTATTCTTTTGATTTTGTTTTTTTCAGCTTATCCGCCTGCTAAAAATTTTCTCGGTATCCAAACGATGGAGAAGGCAGTTCGCTGAAGCTTTTCTAGATAAATTTCAGTGTTCAATGGCTCTGGTTCCGCCCAATATTACGGAAATGCCACTGAGAAGCTCTCTTCCTCTGACCTCGAGCTCTCGCTACTGTTCGTCTCCTTCGCTCCACGCATTGCTCTTCTATTCCTTGTCTGCGAAACCCTCTCGTCCCATTGTTCGGCAATTCTCTTCGCTCCGTACGAGCGAGCGTAGCAGCAACAACAGGAGCCATAACAACCGCCGATTGGATCAGCGACACTCTAAACCAACCCCTCCTTGGATAGACAAGTGGCCTCCGTCATCCGCCGGGGCCGGCGATCATTCCGGGAAGAAAGTCGCCGAACAAAACGGCGGAGGTAAAATTCGGTCGGCGGAGGAAGAGGCGGAAGCGAAACGACGGTACTTGGAGAAGGATAAAGGGCATAGCGCGATTGAGAGGATCGTTCTTCGGCTACGGAACTTAGGATTAGCCTCGGACGATGAGGATGATGTGGAAGATAACGAGGGAGACGGAATTAACGGCGGAGATGTGAAGCCGGTGACTGGAGAAGAGAGATTGGGGGATTTGTTGAAGAGAGAGTGGGTGAGGCCTGATATGATGTTGGCTGAAGGAGAAGAAGAGAGTGACGAAGATGATGATGTGTTGTTGCCATGGGAGAAGAACGAGGAAGAACAAGCGGCGGAGAGGATGGAAGGAGATGGAGCGGCGGTGAAGAAGAGGAGAGCTAGAGCTCCGTCGCTGGCGGAGCTTACGGTTGAGGATTCTGAGTTGCGGCGGCTGAGGAGAGACGGGATGTATCTGAGGGTAAGGATCAGTATTCCAAAAGCTGGGCTTACGCAGGCAGTGATGGAGAAGATTCATGATACGTGGAGGAAAGAAGAACTTGTGAGGCTCAAGTTCCATGAAGTGCTTGCTCGCGACATGAGGACGGCCCATGAGATAGTTGAGGTCAGTTCCCTTGCATACTCCATTGATTCCTGGTAAAAGAACTTTTGATTGTTGCCTTATTACTGCAGAAGAGTTCTAATTGGTTTTCTCAAAGTAGTCATAGCTTTGAGAAAGATGTATGAACTAGCTGAATTTGAGGTGTAAAATATGCTGCTAGATGATCCCAATAGAGAGCGAATTGTATGATCTGTAGGGACAATAATCACCTAATCTCGATTTAGTTCTGCAATAGAATGGTTATGGTTTTATTATTATAACAGTAGAAACTTAGTGAAAGAAATATGATCATGGAGGATTTGGGAAGTGGGAACGGTAACGCAGTTGTGAAATTAGGTGAATTCGAGGTCTGTAAAAACTACAGGATATGGAGCTGAGCACAACTGTTACGTAACAAGACTTTGTAATAGATGCATGTCTAATTTTTAGGTTTATAGAGAACTGAATGAATTTACTCTAATGGGCAGCGTCGAACTGGTGGAATGGTGATATGGAGGGCAGGAAGTGTAATGGTGGTTTATCGTGGGCGTGACTATCAAGGGCCTTCTATGATCTCTAATCAAATGGCCAGACCTGAAGAAACTCTTTTTGTTCCAGATGTATCTTCTGCTGGCGATGAAGCAACAGGTTCCAAAGATAATCAAAGTGCACCTCCGGAAATCAAAGATCCAATTGTCAGGAACCCGATTCGCAAGGAGACTATGACAGAAGAAGAAGCTGAATTTAACAGTCTATTAGACAGTTTAGGCCCACGTTTTCACGAGTGGTGGGGTACTGGGGTGCTACCTGTGAACGCTGACTTACTACCTCCTACAATTCCTGGTTATAAAACACCTTTCAGGCTTCTTCCTACTGGGATGAGATCAAATTTGACCAATGCCGAGATGACAAATCTCAGGAAGATTGGTAAAACTCTCCCGTGCCATTTTGCTCTTGGTAAGTTGCTTTCAAATTCCTAGATTAATTATTCTCGGAGGGTTCTGTTTGGTGTGCCAAATTCTAATATGCACTTTACAGGTAGAAACAGAAATCACCAAGGATTGGCAGCTGCTATACTCAAGCTCTGGGAGAAAAGTCTGATTGCAAAGATCGCGGTGAAGCGAGGTATCCAGAATACAAATAACAAACTGATGGCGGATGAGATAAAGGTATAGCTTCTCTTTTTTGTTTCTCTAGTGTTAGATGTTAGGGAAAATTTACTGTTGAGATAAAATACTGATAGTTATCTGAATGGCTATTGCTTAGATAGCAAAAAAAACAGATAAGATTCAGACAGAAAGCTAAGTTTCATTTTATTGTCGGTTCGTTGTAGACATTGACAGGGGGTGTCTTGCTGCTCAGAAACAAGTATTACATCGTAATATACCGTGGAAAGGACTTCCTTCCTTCTAGTGTCGCAGCTACTTTGGCAGAACGACAAGAATTAACTAAAGAGATTCAGGATGTCGAAGAGAGAGTAAGAACTCGAGACATTGAGACTTCTCAGCCTGTTGGAGATACAGTACCGGCAGAAGCTGGAACTCTGGCCGATATCGAAGAGAGAGTAAATAATCGAGACATTGAGGCTTCTCAGCCTGTTGGAGACAAAGTACCAGCGGAAGCTGGCACTCTGGCCGAATTTTATGAGGCTCAAGCCCGATGGGGGAAAGAGATAACTCCGGACCATCGAGAAAAGATGATTGAAGAAGCTTCAAGAGTCGCAAGTGCCAGAGTTGTTAAACGAATCCAGCACAAACTAAACCTTGTAAGTAGACCTCTTTTAACGTTGAAGTCTTCTGTGAGATATCTGGTTGGCAACTGTCATATTAAGCCGTTTTACTGTATTTAACTTCTCTGTCGATTTGTGACAGGCCCAATCGAAATTTCATAGAGCAGAGAAATTGTTGTCCAAAATAGAAGCCTCCATGATTCCAAACGGACCTGATTATGATCAAGAGGTCATCTCTGAGGAAGAAAGAATCATGTTCCGGAAAGTGGGATTGAAAATGAAGTCATACTTACCCTTAGGTGAGTCCTTTTATATTAAAGCATTCTGGCGTTTCTTGTATGGCTGCAGTGAAGCAGAGGTTATAATAGAATGGAACAAATGTCTAATTTTTTTATGAATATTTACATGGGGATAACAAACAGGTATTCGTGGTGTTTTCGATGGGGTCATCGAGAATATGCATCTGCATTGGAAGCATAGAGAACTTGTGAAGCTTATATCGAAACAGAAGAGTCTTGCGTTTGTTGAGGACACGGCCCGGTTACTAGAGTACGAGAGCGGTGGAGTTCTTGTGGCAATAGAAAAGGTTCCTAAAGGATTTGCGCTTATTTATTACCGTGGAAAGAATTACCAGAGACCAATTAGCTTGAGACCAAGAAACCTTCTCACAAAAGCAAAAGCATTGAAACGTTCCATTGCAATGCAACGCCATGAGGTTCGAAATTCCTGAAATTTCTCAACTCAAACTGCATTCTTTATTCACAAGTTGGTCGCAGCTTGCTTATGAAAACTTGTCTTTGTGGATTATTTGCAGGCGCTTAGTCAGCACATCTCTGAACTGGAGAAAACAATAGAGCAAATGCAGAACGAACTTGTAAGTGGTCTCTTCCTCAAGTAGGGACTTCCAATCTAAATACACTTTTGTGATCTCTCTTCTTTCACAAAGCACGCATGTTCTGCTCTGTTCACTTCATTCACTATCTACATGTTCTTGCAGACCGCAAAAAACCCGTCGTACAGTGAATCCGAATGGGAGAACGAAGATGATGATGATGACGAGGAGGAGGAGGAGAAAGATGATGTGGAGGATGATAGTGATTGGGATGAAGCTGATGGTGAATCGGCAATTTCTAGTTTAGAAGAAGCTGATTATCCATCACGCTAAGTGCTAACTAATCTCAGTAGGGTGTAGCCGACGAGTCTGTCGGAGCTGTGTGACAGAAATGAATCTTTCCATTGATTGGTGAAGAAGAGAACGTGGAGATTCAGAATCAGGAGCCAGAGGTGATTCATCAGCAATTTATGTTAAGTAGCAAAGAGCAGAGCAGTCCTGTGGCAGAGGAGATCTCGGAATCATGAAGATTTGAACTAAGCCAAAGGGAGAAAAAAAAAACGCATCAATTTATGATTTTCTTTTACAAAAATTGTATGTTTTGTCAGTGTATTATCACTATTTAATAAAGTATTTAACAAATGTATATTGATGTATGTTTTTTGTCTTGCAACAATTTTGATCTCCTTTAAATATGTTGGCTCAGTGAGTGAAGAAATTGTGAGCCATTTTTTAAACTTTGCTTTCAGAGCAATCGTCTTTATATGTAGATTGACAGAACCTAAAATCAAGAAAAATGGACAGGTAACAGATGTCTAACCATTTTAAATATACATATTAATTAAAATACGGAGGCTATAAAAGGGTTCTTTGTTCCTTTAATATATAAAGGGAAAGCCTATATAACCTATAAACATAAAAGGACGTGGGCATGCATGGGGAACTTATTTCCCCACTTTAACGTAAAAGATGCACTAATATAGTTAATTTACTTGACCTCAGAGAAGATCTAGTTGTGTGTAATGATACAGTTCAAATTGATGGAGGTTAAATAAGGACAAGTTAATAGGCAATTCAAATTTACTATATGATTTATTTGAATATCTCTTCACCATATTGAGTCCATATTAAACGCGTCCTCTTGAGGTTGCTGTTGCACTTGAGACGAACTTGCACCATTTTGCATGATATTGGAGACTCCTTGTTGAAGAGGAGAATGATTGATATTAGAGATCATCTCTTTCGGGAAACTATAAGAGTTTCTAATTTGGAAAGCCTTGAGCAACAGAGAGTTGATTGGAGATAAAGGCGGACCAAGAAGACTTGTTGTCCACGCTGGAATGTTCATATTCATATTGAGACCAGCCGTGCTTGTAGTATTGTCTTCTGAGTAAAGGCTGCTTTGCGAATAATGATGAAGATGATTGTAATCGACGGTTGATGAGTTTGAATTCAGATTCGGAAGCTCGATATCTTCAAACTCATTTGCCATTGATGAGTTTGCATCGCATGGAGATCCAAAAGATGGTTGAGATGATTGAGGTTGTTGTTCTTGTGGTTTCTTTGTTGCTATGCTCTTTTGGAAAACCCTACACACTACCCATTCCTCCTGAAAAATTTAGATGATATCAGTTCAAGATCATATTAGATTGCAATAAATGTTCATGTGTATTAATGATATTTTATACATACAGATGATATACACTCCACTAAACAATTCTGAAAATTAAAAGCAACTATGTATATACTATTATTATAAGCACGAAACAGGTACATATCTAGGTTGATAATTTAGTCCAATATCAAAATTGAATATATACATGTCCGGTTCGTGGCATGTGTCTCAAAACAGATATTCAAAAGAAATGTAGTTTTATGTTAAACAAAATAAGAATTGATATTTTTTCATCATAAAATTAGGGTCTATATATATTCAACATGGACCTATATATTATCGACCCGAGCCTGAATGTATTGATATTATATAATTTCCCTAATTTTAACCTTTCTTATCTTTTATTGGCGTTAAGCTTAACCTTGATTAAAAAAAAAATCATCTAACTTCCAAAGAGTTTGATAACATTTTGTAAGTATATAGGTACCTTAGCGGGTTTGAAGGGTTGTTTGTTCTCAAGCCTATACTCATGCATAACCCAATTGCTTTTCTCACCCTTTGGAGCTCTTCCTTTGTAGAAAACTAGGGTTTTCTTCATCCCAACCAGCACTCCAGTTCGATATATCTCTTTATCTTTACCGGTGGTTTTCCAATAACCGGCTTCAGTTGCTCGGTTTGTCCTTAAACCGGTTGGGTATTTCCGGTCTCTTAGGCTGAAGAAGTACCACTCTTTCTCTCCCATTGACGCCTTGGCTGCACATACAAATATAGATGTACAAGTATTCGCACATTATATTTAGTTATATCACAGTGACCTGCATATGTGCGAATACTAACTCTTTTTTTAATAATAATTCAAGTATAATATGAAGTTATTAAATAATTACTATACGCCATCTAGCTAGAATTTATATATTACATATGTATGTACGTACATATATGATATATAGTCTCTAGTCTCCACATGTTTGGTAGGCTAGATTAGATACACCAATATTTAGAACGTACTTAACTTACTCTCCCAGAGAAATTGAAATTATGGTTACTAAAACAACGCATTAATGGATTGTTCAAACCATTTAATATACTCTCTCAGAGAAATTAAGTAACAAAAACTATGGTTTAATTCTTTATCAAAGGCAAAAGAAACTATGGTTTCATTTATATTTTATATTGTTGTATGTACGTATTTTATGTCTTTTAACTGATGATATTAAATGGTTTGATCAATCCATTAACGTTATCCTATTTGCCGAAGACATGATTGATTTTACATTTAGTATTATTATATGATTTCTAAATAATTGTAAGAAACACATGTAGACAAAAACAATAGAACAAAAGTAACCATGCTCACATATTCTTATGAATTTATTAGTATATATTACACAATCAAAACACAAGTTATTTGAAGATGATCTAACACACAGGCAAATACAAAATGATCAAAGTATAATTACCTGGCAAATCCCAAGGTTCACACTTGTTGAGATCAACGTCGACGACAGCTTTACCGGTGAATCCTATATCGGAGACTTTCCGACAAAGATAATGTGTTATGAGCTCCTCGTCTGTCGGATGAAATCTAAACCCCGGAGGAAGATTTTCTTCCATTTTTGCTGTTTGGTCAATCTCAGTTCGAGGCAACAAAAGAAAAGGAATAGTTCTCCTCTCTCCAAGAAGAGAACGAAGGAGATCGACAGCAAAAAGCTTTTCAATAATGTGACATAGATGGGGTTTATATATATAGTCGTTCACATATATATAACTAAACTATATATAAAAGTAAGAAATAATTTGTGCACCAAATACCGATCTTGAGGGAGAAGCGGCCACGGGTAGTCTTTTTCAACTGTTGATTATTACAGCTAACATTTTGACGATTCAAGGTATTTCATCCACACATACGTACCCATTTTTTTATTATCCTAAACCATAAGTGTTTATACATAATACATGACCTTATATATATCAACTGTAGAGTCTAATAAAATATTTGTCGGCGTATATATTAATGTTCCTTTTAGATTACATTACTATGTTTATAAAATAACAACGTCCGTCTCAATATCTGCATAAATATCATTATAGAAACATGTAATGTATTTTTGTGAGATTTGTCCAACCAACTTCACCCAATTCTACCCACCATGAATGGAACCCTAATGTCCAATGTAATGTGAACATGCGTGCATGGCTATTTTGTATGATATGAAAATTCCAAATCTAAATCTAGACTAGTCGTCAAATATATATCTATTATCATTATTATTATATACATATAAATGTCTATCTTAAATTTATAGCGATTATAGAGAAATACTTCCAATTTTATCATTGCATCCCTCTTACTCTATCGACACTTGTCTTTTCGCTTATCTCACGGCAATATACATTTATACAAATAAACATATGCTTAATTATATGTTCCAAAAGAAAACATGCATATAGAAGATCAGATTGCGTTGCGATCATCTTATTATATACATAACTCGAATTGTATAACTCACATTTTACGTTAGATTGTTTCGTGCAAATGTTTCCTCGATTGTCGGGTGTTACTGTGTTAACAAAAACTTTGATTTTGTTGACCCAATAAATATGCCAAATCATATATATGTCTTTCATATAAAGTATGTTCCTGGAAAACAACAGAAATCACATTATGTCTTTCGTTCTGTCGGTAAATTGTCTTCTTCTCTTTTTGCCGAATAAGCTTCATTTCTGATAATTGTAGGGGAAAAAAAATTCCAAAAAATGGATGAGTGGCAATTTGGTATGGAGAAAATTGAAAAGGTTCTATTCGAAAACAATATTTGTTATTCTTAAGATTATGTTTTATTAGGTTTCAAAAAAAAAAAGATTATGTTTTATTTAAAGCGTTTTCGAATATAAATTTTTTTTATTCACTTGGAATTTCTGATTGAATCCTTTTAGAGTGCAGCCTACGGCCTACGGGTCTTAACTAGTTATTTTAAGCTTTAATTATTAAGACAAGGTTAAAATAATTACTCTGGAAGAGTGGTTAAAAATCCCACCAACCTAATAGAATGTGTGTATTATATTATAACCACATGAAAATAATTAACTATTGTTATTCAAAAGCAGATTTACTGGGAGATTATTTTGGTAGATTGGGTCTTCTGTGTAATTAGAATGTCAATCCTACCATTGGAAAACTTTGACAATTAATTCAATTAATCTTCATGCTTTTCCCTTCCTTGTTTTTGGGCTTAATTCGATATAGCTTTCTAGATTCCCACAACACGTATACATCTGCATATTTATGTACGTACGCAATACTGTATATTAGCTAGTAACATATATCTTTTTTTGGTTAAAGGGCTAAGTATAATCTTTTGTCAAATTTCAAGAAAAGATATATACTTATATTGTAGTCTAGCTTTTTCTAAATAAAATTTCTTATATATGTGGTTAGAAATCTGAAGAACTGTTTGTATATATAGAATATGAATAAATATATCACTACAATTTATATAACCAAAATCTATATCACAAGCTATGCTGTAAAAATGTTTGTTGTAATTCATTATGAATGTTTGATAGTTACAAATTTACAATTCATGACTCCTATAATTTATAGGTTAATAATGGCCAGTAGTTATTAAATAATTTATAACATTTTCTTCTACCATTAAGTTAATCTGTACGGACTGAATAATTACTTTAGTATAACTTATGAGTTTCTTCCTCATATGTGTAGCTTTCTGAATCGACCATACCCTGCAATTGGCATATTATTTACTCCAAAATTCCAAATAAACTCTAGAATATGATAATCAAGTCGAAGTGACACCCGAAAAATTTCACCTTATAGTTAATTTAAAATCATAAGATTGGAGTCCACAAAATCTTCAAATCTGTCTACACATTAGATTATTTTTTTCTCGTGTGGATTTTCTACAAATTTTGTAAGGTCGTATGTTTTGTCATTATCTACGTGGAGTAGTACTTGTCTTTTTTTACATTGGCATACACACACAAAAAACAAGTTTTCCCAAGTAACATTCAGCATTATTGGAAACAAAATAACTTCTACTTATGAATTCTCTCTAGATTGTAAGAATAGATTAAACTTTAAAAAAACCTGTAATTTGATTTGAAGTTGAGAAAAAAAGTAAGAAAAAATAAACGATACAACTATACCCTATTCACATCAAACAATATACAACTATACTAGATGCAATAATTATCCAGTAGAGGATAGTATAATTTTTCCTTTTTTTTGTGAAACAAGAGGATAGTATTAATTACGATGAAATTTAAAATTTTGGACAGACAGACGATGTGCTTGAAGCTCGGCCCATCTATTGGACCAATTAAATAGGCCCAAAAGAATATTTGAACAGAAAAGGTCCCAAAGTCACAACTCCAATCCTGAAGAGAATCACTCACGGAGAGAGAGACGAGACGACTGAAGAAGAGAGAGAAAGAAGCAATGGGGAGAAAGAAGGGGTTGCCGGAGTTCGAAGAGACGGCGCCGGATGGATTTGATCCGGAGAATCCTTACAAGGATCCGGTGGCGATGGTAGAAATGAGAGAGCACATCGTTCGGGAGAAGTGGATCCAAATCGAGAAGGCTAAGATCTTGCGCGAGAAGGTCAAATGGTGTTACCGCGTCGAAGGCGTAAACCATTACCAGAAATGCCGTCATCTTGTCCAGCAGTACCTCGATTCCACTCGCGGCGTCGGCTGGGGAAAGGATCATCGTCCTATCTCCCTCCACGGTGAGTTTTTCTTCTTCATTTGCTTATTGGATGATTTGCTGATACGATTTATTCGGTTTTTTTGTTTCTTTCTCAATCGGTTAATTTCTTCCTGGATTTGCCATTTTTCTTAAACTCGGCTGATGAATGATGTATGCAAAATCATTGAATTGAAATTGATGTAGGTTGGTCTGAGCTAAAGCTAGTTCTTAATTTCGTGATTTGGTTGATGAATGGACTGTCATTTTTAGTGATGTGAATGATTTTTTTTTCCGGTACAGGTCCTAAGCCGGAGGCTGTTGAAGTTGAAGCTGAATAATGTGTTACGCCTGAGTAATATGAAGTGAGTAACTCGTTCCGAGTTCTGGAATCATTGTTTTTTTTTTTATCTGTTAATGAACTGAAAGATAATGTAAGACAAATGTGGCATGACTGGCTCTAGACTTCGTTAAATTGATGATGGTGATGCTTTCTTTGTGGATTAGCTTAGGTTTTTCCAGATATGAAACTTTAAGAGCCTCCATGCTTGTCTTTGCTAGAGTCTGTTTCCTGTTAATAAAATGAAAGGCCTGTATTTGATATTTGTCTATTAGCTCAACTAATTGATTAGTAAGCATTTGTATAAGCTGTGACGAAAGAAACTAGAGTTCAAGGTGTGATAATTTCTTATAACATTCACCAATGAGATGTTGAGTTGCTCTATTTTGAGATATTTAAGAATGCTGCTGGTTCATAGTTTTAAAACTCTGCTATGTTGTCAATATGTCTACTCCACCACAAAGCTAATCCTTGCATAACAACATGAGGGATGAAAAATGTTTTGGACTCATCTTGTGGAAACTTATGCTAAGTGTTCTAGTCTAGGCGAAACCTCTCAAGTCGTTGTGTTAAACTATGGCAAACGTTACATCATTAGTTATTGTCACAACAGCTACTGGTTTCACTTTTATGACGAGCTTAGTGATCCAAATGCTCTTTTTTGTTTGTTTTGCTTCAGTGATTGCAGGTGACCAAGCTTTTAATGCAGGACATGGAATGGTCTTTGGACTGTGCAGATATGGTCTTGTTTTACTTTTTTTGTTATATAAAACATGTCGGTCTTTGGACTGGCGGATTCATGTAAGGGTTTTACAAGTTTGAGTAATGAATTCGTACACTCAATATCTCCATACGTTCACGTTGGTTTTACCTTCTTGTCAAATAAGAATCAAAGAAGAAACAAAATAAACTATAAATGGGTGAGTTTTTCAAATCAACAAATACAACACTTGCTTAATATTCTCTCAGGAAAACAATCTAGTCTTCCATGTCTTATTCTTCAAATGTGAGACCTATTCCAACTTAAACTCAGTTATCTTCACCACTACCAAAGAGCTTCATCCTAGATAACGGAGTTCTCAAATACCCTTCCACTTCAAATTTCTTGGGAGAAAGCTCCCTGTATTTCGCAAACTGTTCCTTAGCTTCGACGTTCTTGTCAAGCAAACTATAGATCATACCTCGACAGAAATACGGTCTGAAATCCTTTGGATCCTCTTTCGTCAGCTCCTCGTAGCTCTTCAATGCATCATCCACGTTCTTCTGCAAGAACTGTATCTGCGCAATAATCAGCCTCACGTCTCTCATTTCCTTCACCATATTCTCAGCTTGCGCCACAGCTAACGCATCTTCCAGCCTCTGCATCACCGCATCTCCTTCCCCTGACCGGTCCATGAGCAATGCATTCTCGAACAAAGCCTCGAAACAGAGCGGGTTTCGTCTGAGAATTTCCTCGAACATTTGGCGTGCGTTTTCCGGACGGCCCATCTCTCCCAGTAGCCTCGCCATTAGGAACTTCCACTCTGTTTCATCTGGTTGTGCGGTTACTAGTCTCTCTAAGAGCTTGAGAGCTTCCTCATCTTCTCCCTTCTCGAGCTTCTGCTGAAGGAGTGATCTCAGCGTCTGGACCGCCTCAGGGGTGGAGTCTAGAAGCTCGGACAATGGCGAAGAGGGTTCGATGTCAGACGCATTTCTCTCTTCTTTCACTTCCGAGAGAGTTTCTTCGGTGGTCGTAACCGGAGATTCCGCTTTGACCGGTAAAGCTGAGAACTTCCCGGTCATGGAAACAGCAGCGCCGATTAGAATCGCTGATTTGGCAAAAGATTTCAGCTTATCGGGAAAACAATAATCCGAACCATTCTGTTTCGAGCTAGCCCTGATACGAACAGAAAGAAGATCTCGACGGGGATTCAAAGGTCCGGTGACCGGAGGCGCTTTGACGGCGACGAATGATGAAATCAACGAAGAAGAAAGTGAGGAGGGAGCTGAGAGAGACGAAAACATGGCTTCAGAGTATCGTTTCGTATCCTATCAATGGCTAGAGAAGCGAACTCAAAATCGAAAGAGAAAGCAGCGATTTCAGATGAAAGAGGCGTTCACTGAGTCCACTACCACTCCATTCTCCAGCTTCACGAGATGTACGTCAAAACGTCGACGGTAAATTCTAATTTGGGCTTTGGTCTTCTATTATGGGCCTTCAAATAATTGAGCCTTTTCGGCCTTTTCGTTTTCTTAAGGCAGGTCTCCGGCGAAATCTTTACACTGCGATCCGGAAGAATCAGTTCAACGTGTAGAAGAAAGAGATAAGTGGTCGACAATTCCGAGAGAGACGAGGGGAAAAGGGCGAGCAAACCCAACGCTAACCCTTGTAGGTGTTCTTCATCTGCGCTGCGTTGAGCTCTCTCGATTGATTCCTCATAACAAGCAAGCCGATCTTCGTCGCGTGGTTTTCGTATTCGATGTAAGTTTTTCTCTCATTTCTTCTTCGAAAGCTCTTGTCGATCTCAGAGTAGATCGCATTAGTGAGGAATCAGGTGAAAGAGATGAGCTAAGCGCAGTTGTTTCATTTCTATTGCAGAATTAAAATTGATCCAATGGTCTTTAAATTGGGAATCGAAATTGTTTGTGGTGTTAACAGAATCCAGTTACGGTCGTTGCGTCTAATTTTATAATAATCGTATCATGCCTTCCTTCAAATGATCTCCTCTGCTTTTAGCTAACGAGAAATGTACATTTTTAGAGGTTGTATATAGATTAAAAAGATAAATTGAGCTATTGGATTACAATGCTTCTATAAAGTTACAGACATCAGTAGAGGCATTTATGGTTTGTGTTTTGAATTAGTGTCATTTTTTCTCGAATCAATCCTCTATCCCCCAATAATTCTGACGAAAGCAATCAATAATTTTTCCTCAGTTGGGGATTTCATGTCACCAAATTTCGTCTAGTTTCACGAATCTCATATGAAAATTTCTGTGATCTATAACTAAACGGGTTGTGATGATTAAATCATGTTTGAATCAGATCTTGAAAGTGTAAAAATTCGAAAAAATGGGAAACACTTCCTCGATGCTGACTCAATACGACATAGAAGAAGTTCAGAGCCATTGCCAGGATCTATGTGAGATTTTCCTCCACTTCTCCTTGTCTCTTCTCTTATATGTCTGAAATTTTTATGCTTTTGATTTAAATTCGCTACTTTGTTTCTTCTTCAGTTGAGCAGCAGGAAATTCTATCTCTGTATCAAAGGTTTTGCCAGTTAGATCGGAATGCAAAGGGGTTTATATCTTCTGATGAGTTTCTCTCTGTGCCTGAGTTCGCCATGAATCCACTATCTCAGGTATTCTTACTTTCTTCTTCATCTAATATATTATAAAATCTTGTTAAGATTAGTCATAAATTTGAACTTGATGTCTTTTAATTTTTGCTTGATGTGAATACCAGAGGCTGCTTAAGATGGTTGATGGTTTGAACTTTAAGGACTTTGTGGCTTTCTTGTCTGCATTTAGTGCCAAGGCAAGTCTAAGACAAAAGGTTACACGTAAGTAGATAGTTTCCTTAAAGCTACTTTGTGGCAAAATCTTCACTTCCACTGTATTCTATGTAAGTTAAGACCACCAGACTGCTTTTTTCAGTGATTTTTAAAGTCTATGATTCCGACTGCAATGGGAAAGTCTCCTTTAATGATATCATGGAAGTGTTGCGGGACTTATCGGGGTCATTCATGTCTGATGATCAAAGAGAGGTATGTATACAAATTTGGTAACGAACTAATCATCCATCTTAAAAGATTGGTTATAAATGGTATACCACTTTTTACGTTTGGGAAATGTAATTCAGCTACTTTTTAGTTTTTACCAATCTAGAAACATTCATTAAAATTTCACAAATTCGTGTTTGTTGAGATGTGATTACGCTATATACTGTGGACATGATAACAAAAATAACTAGAGAAAACGAAACATCAATAATTTACAGCACTACACCTAGTTTTTTAGCGTCTGTAGTGATAACCCTGCGGAAATATTATTCAGCTACGTATTTTCACTATTCGATTAGTATTCCGTGATTCCACTATATATTTGACGTACTAAATGTTGGATTTCTCTACTCAATCATCTTAGGCTCCAATTTTCGCTTCAGTGTTTGTGGTTATGATCATAAGCACTGAAACTCAGTATACAAGTGTTTTCACTATGTGTCTTGTGTTTTATTTCTGTGGTGTAGCAAGTACTGAGCCAGGTTTTGACTGAAGCAGGCTACACGAGTGACTCTTTCTTAACCCTGGAGGATTTCATAAAGGTATAAATTTGGTTGTTGTGATTGTAGCATCAGAATAGCAGCAGCTTGAATACCGACATAATGTTCTGTATTTTTCAGACCGATTTGTACTCTACGATTCTGATGCTGCATCTTCTTTCTTGTATCTCCAATGTCACAGGTCTTTGGGAATTGTAAACCGGAGATGGACGTTGAAATTCCTGTGGATTAGGTTTAGATCATACGAGCAAACTCTAAACTCAAATATCTCATCATGTGTTTGTCCACTTTGTTAGTAGAATAATCCTTGTTAATCTGATCACACCATTGCAGGTTTTGTCTATTCCAAAACTGGATTTAACTATTTAAGATTAAGTTTCATTCTCAAAGCATTATCAATTGATAAGATGGAGAACTGTATTACTTAAACACAATTGTTTCCTATAATCCTATTACCTTCATGCATTAGCAACAGATTCAATAATGGCATCCAAAAAAGAAAAGTTTATTCCGTATATGGTACGTACCAAATCTCCGACAGAAAATAAAGAAAAAAATGAATTTTTATCACAAAAAAAAAATAGGGACTTGGAATGTTCACGTAAACGCCCGTTTTCCTAAAGTCAAGTTGATAATCTTATCTTTGGGTATGATTACGATTTGTAGAGTCTGACTTTCATTGCTTAAATAAGTGTTGTGTTGGCATACAGGAATTGTTTTTAATCTGCATATTAAACTAATAGATTAAGTAAATGGACAAATAATAGTACTATATTATTAGTTAATTAGATTTTATAAATTGAATGTCGACAAAGAATCGTCACGTGACGTAACGTAACTAAAGTAAGAATCACCTACTTTCGTCGAATTATTATTGCCCACATAACATATATAAAAAAGGAATTAAAACGTCGTCACTTTGCCTCATAATTTGACCACTTTTTTTTCCGCTTTTTTTCTCTCTTCACCTTCACTTCACCTATAAGGGCCACCACACCACCACCACTAAGCAGTTTCGTTTCTCGTCAGTCCAAAATATCTCTGCCATTAAAGTGTACTTTTAATGGAGCCGAAGCAGGGTTCCTTCAGGCATGGAATACTCGAGAAACGCGAAAAGCTTCTGTCAAATAATGGTTTCTCCGATTTTAGATTCACCGATATCGAGTCGAACGATCTTCTCGAAAGCGAGAATTATGGAAGGACTCGGTTTTGCTGCTGTTCGTGCGGAAACCTATCCGAGAAAATCTCCGGAATGTACCAGGATGCCAAAGATGTGGGGAGGAAGGCCTGGGAGATGGGCGTGTCTGATCCGAGAAAGATCGTCTTCTCCGCGAAGATTGGGCTTGCTCTGACGATTGTCGCGGTTTTGATATTCTTCCAGGAACCTAATCCGGATCTCAGCCGTTACTCTGTCTGGGCTATTCTCACTGTCGTCGTTGTGTTCGAATTCACGATCGGTAAATAAATTTAGTTTCTGACGATTTGGGGTTTAATCACGGTTGAAAAAATACTCATATGGAAATTGATGATTCGACTGGAGTTTATCTGGATTTGGCTTGTTTCCTTCTTTTAAACAAAAGAGTGTGTGCGTGGTTGCTTTCATTGTTGAATTCGTCGTTTTCTTCTTTTAAATTAAAAATAATAGGCAAAGTGTGGATTTTGTTTGACTGGAAATCTTGAATTGACGATTTCTGTATTACTGAAGCTAAATCATACTTTGTCAATCAGTAATCACATCTCTAAACCAAAATCGTGTTTGTTTAAGAGAAACTGTGCTTTAAAGCTAATACGTTGTGATGACTGTTGTTGGTTTTCTAATAGGAGCAACTCTAAGCAAAGGTTTTAATCGAGCGCTTGGGACGTTATCAGCTGGAGGTCTTGCCCTTGGAATGGCCGAGCTTTCTACACTAACCGGAGACTGGGAAGAGCTCTTCTGCACCATTAGTATCTTCTGCATTGGTGTGTTTTGCTGCATCACACCAACCTTCAAATCTTTTACAGCATCATTGCAACTTATATAGGCTTCTCATTGTTTCAGGGTTCATTGCAACTTTCATGAAGCTATATCCGGCGATGAAAGCATATGAATACGGGTTCCGCGTTTTCTTGCTTACATATTGCTATATTCTGATTTCCGGGTTCAGAACAGGGCAGTTCATAGAAGTAGCTATCTCCCGGTTTCTGCTTATAGCTCTTGGTGCTGGTGTTAGTTTAGGTGTCAATATGTTTATCTATCCTATATGGGCTGGAGAGGATCTTCATAACCTTGTTGTGAAGAATTTCATGAATGTCGCGACTTCTCTTGAAGGTTAGTATAATATAAAGCTTTTGGCTTTCCGAGTCTAGAGAAGATGCTTAACTGATAGTATTGTCGTTTGGTCATTTACAGGTTGTGTCAACGGATACTTGCGGTGTGTTGAGTACGAGAGAATCCCATCCAAAATCCTCACTTACCAAGCCTCAGAGGATCCGGTTTACAAGGGTTACAGATCAGCGGTTGAGTCAACCAGCCAAGAAGAGTCTCTGGTATTTGTCAATTGCGGAATCATCTTCATAATTAAAAAAATTATGTTTCTTCTTCCTTTGCTTCTCGTCTCTGAATTAGTTCGTTTTTTTCTTCTCTGTCGTAATTTGAAAGATGAGTTTCGCAATATGGGAGCCTCCTCACGGACCATACAAATCATTTAACTATCCATGGAAGAACTACGTCAAGCTCAGTGGCGCTCTCAAACATTGTGCATTCACTGTCATGGCATTACACGGCTGCATTCTCTCAGAAATCCAGGTCAACATTTTCCCTCTAGCTTCATTATCCATGATACTAAAGATAGAGATTCGGAAATTTGTGAACTTATAAATTACAATCTGCAAACATATGGCAGGCACCAGAGGAACGAAGACAAGTTTTCCGTCAAGAACTTCAGAGAGTGGGCGTAGAAGGAGCCAAATTGTTAAGAGAGCTTGGTGAGAAAGTGAAGAAGATGGAGAAGCTAGGACCACTCGACCTTCTCTTTGAAGTACATCTAGCTGCAGAAGAGTTACAGCACAAGATCGACAAGAAATCTTACCTTCTCGTCAATTCCGAATACTGGGAGATCGGAAACCGATCCAAGGAACCAAAGTCAGAGCCTCAAGAACTTCTCTCCCTCGAAGATTCAGATACACTAGAAGACAACGAGGCTCCAATCTACGCCTTCAAATCGCAAAGCGAGGCGGTTCTTGAGATACCAAAGAGCTGGGGAGAGAAGAATCACCGTGAGCCGTTGAACAATAGGCCTACTCTCTCGAAGCAGGTGTCGTGGCCTGCAAGACTTGTGCTTCCGCCGCATCTGGAGACGACGAACGGAGATTCGCCGCTGCTTGAAACGACGGAGACGTACGAGAGCGCGAGTGCGTTGTCTCTCGCAACGTTCGCGTCTCTCCTGATAGAGTTCGTGGCTCGGTTGCAGAATGTGGTTGATGCGTTCGAGGAGTTGAGCCAGAAAGCCAACTTTAAGGAGCCGGAGGTTGTTACGGCGACAACAGATGTAGAATTCGCCGGAGAAAGGCTCGGGCTTGGCCGTAAGATCTGCCGGTGTTTCGGGCTGTAAGGTTTGTCTCTTTTGGAAATTTGCATCAGCGTTTCTCTTTAACGCGCGAGATATGATGATAGTTAAAACTGTTAATTGTAACCCAACTACGTATACGACTAAACTAGTAAAGAAATCAAGAGGCATATTTTAACCCCTAAATCAGAAATGTGTATTTGACTTTAATTCCACATTAACACAGTTTTAAAGTTTAATTATTCTCGGATTTTTTTTGGTATTTTTGGGCATGAAAAAATTCAATAAAACTGAAATGTTTTTAGTTAACGTGCCAAATACAAAAGGCTACAGTTGAGAGTCCTCAATTTTATTAATCCACATGATTATTAATTTCAATCATAATGCAAAACATATAGTAACCAATATCTATTAAATCAACCAGTCATGTGTTGATCCTTGGGAGGAGCCTTCGCCCTTCGCCAATCCTCTCTATATCCTATTACACCAAAATAATTAATAGAGAATCAATATCATCATTATTCATTAGAGAGAAATTAACAAACAAAAAAAAAAGTGTTATGATCGAGAATGCATTTTACCAATAGAAGGGTCATGACCACGGCTTCGGAGTTCACGGTATTCTTGGCAAAGAGCACAACATTCACAAAAGCAGTGAGTGATGCAATCCGAAGCTGGAGACTCCTGCAACTCGTACATTTCTCGCATCTTGGTCCGGTACATGTATGAGAACAAACATGGCAAGCCAGTGACACAACATATCAGTCCGTAAAACATCCCACATTTCCCACAACCTACGTACATACATGCATATATATATATATATACACGTTACATGAATACATACAATCATATCAAAGGATCGAATTAAATATACTACTTTATATGACTTACCGGTTTCTCCTTCGTCGACAACTTCAGCGATCCGTCCGAAAGTGATGCACGGGCAGAAACATGTGAGGCAAGCTTATACAACGTAAAACAAAAGGAACAAAAATTCAATCATAATCAAATTGATGATAACAGAACTGTGTATAAGGATTTACTAGCGACTCGATCGGTTGATTTTTTTTGTTTTCAAACATTCTAACCATTTTCGCCGTCTTCCATGCAGCTGCAAAGACCAGATTTCCATTCTTTTTCCATTGTAAAGTATTTGATTCTTCTGGTAAAACGGTGCTCGAAGATCAAAAATATATTTGAATAGGTTGAGAAGGTTGAGAAAAACAATTCTATGGTGTGACAGGTTTTAGGAATGGAGGTTGGGTTGGTATATATATAAGTGGTTGAATGATGTCAATTCAAGACACCACAGATATTTAGATTTTAGTACATTGCACTGAAGGAAAATCCAGAAACCTTGTTAATAAAATCTTTGAACATAAAGATGGGTAGTCTAATTTATTCACCCCTTAAACTAGTACATTGTTGGATTTTTTTGTTAAAATGAGTTATCTTTTTATAAAATTTTTTTTGTTAATATGGAATCTACATTATATTCCGGACTTATTTTTGGCAAGTAGTATTTAATAAACACCATAACTATTGGGATCTTTTTCTAAGTTATAATAAACACCATAATAGCCAATTTTTGGGATTCTATTCTAAGTTTAGAACATATTATCTCTTGGGTTTTTATTTAGACGCGTTTTAGATTTGATTTAATCAATATAATTAATATCATTATAAGAAATACTTTAACATAAAAACATTTTAAAAATACAAAAGTGTACTAAAGATTTTTATGTATCTATATGTAAATATATTCTATAAATGCTAAAGTAATAAAGGAAAAATATAAACTCATAATTCTAGTGTTAATGAAATATCTATTGAATCCATTTGTTATAATATTTTGAAGCATTGAATTCATTTTCAAGACAGTAAGGATAGTTAGATTTGGAAGAAGTTGTGTGAGTTTACGACATATAGTTGGCCTTTGAATAACCTAAGTATCAACCCATTGGACTTTGTAGTATTAATCCAAACCAAAAAACTCTTTTACAAAGAATGCATCTTTATATATTCTTTAATTAATTACGTGAAATATTAGAATATTACAAAGACAGAAGTTTTCTAAAAAGAAATTTATTCATATTTCGGAAATACAAAAAAAAATACGTGAAATTCAAATTCAAGCTCACACGAAGATGAAATCGCTGCCTTACATATTTGGCCATGAAGTTTTCTAAAAGTAACAAAAAAACAAAGACAGAAATATGAAACAGTATTTAGATCACGTTGTGAGAAAAATAACAAAAAAAAGTAAGTCAACCCATCATCCGTTGACCTGTTGGAGGAGCCATCATCTCTTGCTGCTGTGCTTGCACATCTGTCAATTTTTGGAGTTCTGCATTCATACTTCCAAAAGGATTCCTAAAAAAGATTGAAATCCTTTGCTCTCGCTTCTTATGGAATGGAAATACAACTTCCAAGGCAGCTGCTAAAGTTTCCTGGCACAGTGTTTGTTTACCTCTTCAAGAAGGCGGTTTGGGGTTAAGGAATCTTCTGATATGGAACAAGACATTGTGTTTGAGGTTGATTTGGTTACTGTTTGCAAATGGGAAGTTCTCGGTGGGTTGAATGGATGAGAAACAACAGATTGAAGAATAATTATTTCTGGAGCATATTGATGAGAATAAGCAGACTTCTTGGACTTGGAAAGCTTGGACCTCTCTAGGACCTCTTATCTATATCTATTTGGTCATTCTGGACCTCGACAGCTTGGGATCTCTATATCATGCATACACGGTCGCTGCTTGCTGTACCGAAAATGGATGGATGATAAGAGGCGCAAGATCACCAGAAGCGGAAGCTCTTCAGATCTACCTAACTACTACTATATCGCTCCCAACCGAATCCACCTCCAATGATGAGTTCGTTTGGCAGGTGAACGATGCTGGGAAGCACTACGGCCAAGGGAAATACATCAACCATGGACATCAAATGTGTGGTTCAAAGGAGCATATCCCCTCGTCATGCTTTCTTGATGTGGGTGGCGCACCTTGACCGGTTGCCAACAAGAGCCCGACTCACAAATTGTGGGCTACAAATAAGCCCAAATTGCTGTCTTTGTGATGCATTTGTCGAATCTCCAGACCACCTTGTTTCTACGGTGTGAAGTCAGTGAACAAGTCTGGGATCTCTCTATTAAAAGGTTAGGCTACAATCCCTTCTACTTCCACACTTGGACTGCTTTCTCTACTTGGCTGGGCTGTAAAGATGATGTAGCCCCGAGGACTCTACGCAGATTAGTAGCTCACGCCACCATCTATGGGATATGGCATCAAAGAAACAACCGGCTTCACAACGCAATCTCCTCCACGCCACAAGCCATCTTCAAGAGAATTGATAGACTGATACGAGACACCATCCTGGCAAAAATTAACCGCAAAAACTTTGGTGATCTGATCCAGACTTGGCTCACCCACGCTTAAGTAGCTCCTATCGTAGTTGCATGTTAGGCTATCTCTTGTTTTTTTTTTTTTTTTTTTTGGGCAAGGATAGCCTGTTGTTTTTAGTCTTTTTGTAATTTTTACAAACAATCTCATTTTTAAATGAAATTCACATATTTAGCAAAAAAATATATATATATATTCGTATGTTTACATAAATGAGGATTATATGAAATTATTATATAAATGTTTGTTTTTAGTGTATGTATAATATGATCAGTGAACGACTTACTTGTCGCGCCTTCGTCAACAATTTCAGCGATCTATCCAAACGTGACGCACGGAGCTATACATGTGATCACAGCTGATCCAATGCACAACAAACAACAAAAACTAAGAAATAAAAATACAGTATGATGTTAGATTTATATATAAGACTGCGTTAATTATTTTCTGTTATTTTAAAATATCTGACCGTTTTCACCGTCGTTCCATGCAATCAAAATGATCAGAACTCCAAAGATTTTGCGTCTAAATAAAAACCCAAAGTTTTAATTATTCTCGAATTTTTTTGGTATATATAATATATGGGCATGAATATATTAATAAAACTGAAATATTTTTTTAATTAAAGCGCCAAATACAAAAGGCTACAGTTGAGAGTGGTCTATTTATTAATCCGCTTAATTATTATTATAAATCATATTGCAAAACATTTTGTAACCAATAACTTTTGAATCAACCAGTCATGTGTTGATCCGGAGGAAGAGCCAGCGCCCTTTGCACATTGCCATCCCATCCTATTACACCAAAATAATAGTAAAAGTCAACATCAAATAATTAGTAGAGGAGAATCAATATCTTAGAGAGAAATTAACAAACAAAAAAAAAATTGTTATGAGAGAATGCATTTTACCAAGAGAAGGGTCAACATTATCATGGGCTTTTAGTTCACGGTATTCTTGGCAAAGAGCACAACATTCACAAAAGCAGTGAGTGATGCAATCCGAAGCTGGAGACTCCTGCAACTCGTACATTTCTCGCATCTTGGTCCGGTACATGTATGAGAACAAACATGGCAAGCCAATGACACAACATATCAGTCCGTAAAACATCCCACATTTCCCACAACCTACGTACATACATATATATACACGTTACATGAATACATACAATCATATCAAAGGATCGAATTAAAATATACTTATATTATATGACTTACCGGTACTTCCTTTGTCGAGAATATCAGCGATCCGTCCGAAAGTGATGCACGGGCAGAAACATGTGAGGCAAGCTTATCCAACGTAAAACAAAAGGAAGACATATTAAATCATTATATAACATTCTAAAAAAATTATTAAAAAATAATGACAACGGAACTGTATATAAGAATTTACTAGCAAATCGATTGGTCGATTTTATTTAAGAAAAAAACATTCTCACCAGTTTCGCCGTCTTCCATGCAGCTGCAAAGACCAGAACTCCATTTGTTTTCCATTGTAAAGTATTTGATTCTTCTGGTAAAACGGTGTTCGAAGATCAAAAATATATTTTAATAGGTTTTGAAGGTTGAAAAAACATTTGTATGGTGTGAAAGGTTTTGGGAATGGAGGTTGGGTATATGTAAGTGGTTGAATGGTGTTAATTCAAGACACCGCATATACTTAGATCTAAGTACATTGCACTGAAGGAAAATCCAGGAACGTTGTTAAGAAAATCTTTGAACATAAAGATGGGTAGTTTATTCACCCCTTAAACTAGTACATTGTTGGACTTTTTGCTAAGAAAATCTTTGAACATAAAGATGGGTAGTTTATTCACCCCTTAAACTAGTACATTGTTGGACTTTTTGCTAAAATGAGATATCTTTTTAAAATGATTTTGTTAATATGGAATCTACATTATATTCGGGACTTAATTTTTTTGGCAAGCTGTATTTAATAAGCACACCATAATAGCAAAAAATTCGGGATTCTTTTCTAAGTTATAATAAACACCACAATACCAAAATTTCTAAGTTTAAGAACATATTATCTTTTGAATTTTTATTTAAACGCGTTTTAGATTTGATTTAATCAATATAATTAATATCATTATAAGAAATACTTTAACATAAAAACATTTTAAAAATACAAAAGTGTACTAAAGATTTTATGTATCTATATGTGTATATATTCTATAATGCTAAAGTAAGGAAAATTATAAACTCATAGTTTCAGTGTTAATAAAATACTATTGAAACTATTTGTAAAAATATTTTGAAGCATTAAATTCATTTTCAAGACCGTAAGGATAGTTAGATTTGGAAGAAGTTGTGTAAGTTTACGACATATAGTTGGCCTTTAAATAACCCAAGTATCGACCCATTGGACTTTGTAATATAATGCAAACCAGAAAAACTGTTTTACAAAGAATGCATCTTTAGTCTTTATGTTTGAAATATTAGAATATTACAAAGACAGGGGGTTTATTTTTGACAAAATTAAGTCGACCTCGTTATAAGAAATTTATTCATATTTCGGAAAGACAAAAAAATTACGTGAAATTCAAATTCAAGCTGGCACTAGCATGAAATCGCTGCTTTACATTTATATTCGGCCATGAGGTTTTCTAAAAAGTAACAAAAAACAAAGAAATATGAAATAGTTTTTAAACAAAGACAGAAATAACAAAAATAGTAAGTCAACCTATCATCCGTTGACCTGTTGGAGGAGCCATCATCTCTTGCTGCTGTGCTTGCTTCCACCCTGTTGCACCAATAATATTTATACCAGCATTGGTCGTTTTCTAAGAAGAAAACCATTAAAACCAAACTTAATGAGAAAAATGGAATGATAATAATGAAATTTACCAATATTGGGGTCAAAACCACGGTGTTTGAGTTCACGATACTCTTGACAAAGTGCACAATGGCCACATAATAAATGAGTGATCCAATCGGGAGCCGGAGCATCCGGTAACCCGAATTTGTTTCGCAGCTTGGTCCGGAACATGCATGAGTACACAAACGGTGCTCCGAATAGAAATATCGCTCCATACAACAACCCACTTGTCGCACATCCTGCATGATATTGATCATATACACTAATATTCGTATTTTTATACAAATGAGGAGTATATGAGAATATTATACTAGTGTTTGTTTTTGGTGTATGTTATGGTCCATGAACGACTTACTTGTCGCGCCTTCGTCAACAATTTCAGCGATCTGTCCAAACGTGACACACCGAGATATATATGTGATCATGTTTGGACATTATTTCCACATTAACCCAGTTTAAAAGTTTAATTATTCTCGGATTTTTTGCTATACATATATGAGCATGAAAAAATCAATAAAACTTAAATAATTTTTAACTAATGTGCCAAATACAGAAGGCTACAGTTGAGAGTGCTCAATTTACTAATCCACATGATTATTAATTTAAATCACATTGCAAAACATATACTGTAGTAACAAATATCTTTTAAATCAACTAGTCATGCGCTGATCCTTAGGACGAGCCAGCGCCATATGCACATTGACATCCCATCCTAATACACCAAAATAATAGTAAAAGTCAACATCAAATAACTAATAGAGGAGAATCAATATCTTAGAGAGAGATTAAAAAATAAAATAAAAAGTGTTATGATCGAGAATGCATTTTACCAAGAGAAGGGTCAACCTCATGGGCTTTTAGTTGACGGTATTCTTGGCAAAGAGCACAACATTCACAAAAGCAGTGAGTGATGCAATCCGAAGCTGGAGACTCCGGTAAGCCCCCAAAAAAATCTCGCATCTTGGTCCGGTAAGTGCATGAGAACAAACATGGCATGCCAATGACACAACATATCAGTCCGTAAAATATCCCACTTTTCCCACAACCTACGTACATACATATATATACACGTTACATGAATACATACAATCATATCAAAGGATCGAATTAAAATATACTACTTTATATGACTTACTGGTTTCTCCTTCGTCGACAATTTCAGCGATCCGCCCGAAAGTGATGCACGGGCAGAAACATGTGAGGCAAGCTTATCCAACGTAAAACAAAAGGAAGAAAAATTAAATCATTACCAAATTAATGACAACGAAACTGTGTATAAGAATTTACTAGCAATTCGATCGATTGATTTTTTTTATTAAAGCATTCTAACCAGTTTCGCCGTCTTCCATGCAGCTGCAAAGACCAGAACTCCATTCTGTTTCCATTGTAAAGTATTTGATTCTTCTGGTAATTAAAACGGTGCTCGAAAATCAAAAATATATTTTAATAGATTTAGAAGGTTGAAAAAGCAATTGTATGGTGTGAAAAGTTTTAGGAATGGAAGTTGAATGGCAGTGGCGGAGCCAGAAATTTTTTCCGCTGGTAACAAATGAAGATATATAAAATATTATGAATGGGGGCATTAACATAAAGCTTTTAAAAAATACAGTAATTTTTTAATTTCACTGGAGTCATTCGCCCCCACCTTGATTAATGTGGCTCCGCCAATGAATGGTGTCAATTGAAGACAACACAGATATTTAGATTTTAGTACATTGCAGTGAAAGGAAAATCCAGAAACGTTGTAAATAAAATATTTGAACATAAAGATGAGTAGTTTAATTTATTCACTCCTTAAACTAGTTCATTGTTGGATTTTTTTGGTTAAAATGAGTTATTTTTTATAAAATATTTTGTTAATATGGAATCTACATTATATTCCGAACTTATTTTTGGCAAGTTGTATTTAATAAACACCATAATAGTAAAAACTATTGGGATCCTATTCTAAATTATAATAAACACCATAATAGCCAACTTTTGGGATTCTATTCTAAGTTTAGAATATATTATCTCTTGGGATTTATTTAGACGCGTTTTAGATTTGATTTAATCAATATAATTAATATCATTATAAGAAATACTTTAACATAAAAAACACTTTAAAAATACAAAAATGTACTAAATATTTTTATGTATCTATATGTATATATATTCTATAAATGCTAAATTAATAAAGGAAAATTATAAACTCATAATTTTAGTGTTAATGAAATATCTATGGAATTTATTTGTAATAATATTTTGAAGCATTAAATTAATTTTCAAGACAGTAAGGATAGTTGGATTGGAAGAAGTTAAGTTTTCGTCATATAGCTGGGCCTTTAAACAGCCCAAGTATCGACCCATTGGACTTCGTATAGCTTCTACTGAAATACTTGAAACCTGTTAATTAAGGACCAAACTAGACACACGCATACAAAAGCAGGAACGTTTACGTGTTAAATTACTAATTTACCACCAAAACTCTAATGTACCAGCAGATCTGATCGGAGTAGAAAATTTTCCAGAAGTAAAACAAAACAACTTTCGGGGAATTCTCTTAATTCATTCACTTGTTGATTCAAAGAAAGAAAAAATCACTTCCCATAAATTTTCTTCGTACTGAAGTCTTGCTTGTGTTAATCGGAGAGCGAGATCGGGATCCGAATACGAGGAGAATCAATGGAGGCCTTGCAAGATGGATCGGAGAGAGATAAAACTCCTCCTCCTCCTTCTTCTTCTTCTTCCTCTTCGTCTCCTATTCCTGTCGTCACCAATTTTTGGAAAGGTTTGTTTCAGATTCATATCGAGCTATCTATTCGTTTGCTTCGACTCGCGGTGAAGCTGATTAGCTGATGGGGGGAGCCTTGTTGTAGTAGAGGAGCAATTCGTGGTTTGGTTTATTTTCGATTCCGTTGAAGTGAAGTAAGGCTAAATCATTAGAGTAGAGACGTAGTGAGATTGCCATTGGATATTCCGGAGAAGGCAATGTTAGTTTAATGTAATCGGATGGAGAAGTCTCCATTGATTGCTTTATAAGATATCAACTCATTTTCTGGTTTTCGATTTTTTTGGATTTTGTATTTGTGACATGGAAACAAGCCTCGATTCGATAGCTTGTTCTACGATTGCTTGCTGTTCATCTGGTTTGAGTCTCATCATAGAAAAAGGCTATTCCCAAATGATTCACCTGTCTTTGAACTATTTGTCTCAGAATTTGATTTGGAGAAGGAGAAAAGTCTGCTTGACGAGCAAGGGCTTAGAATAGCTGAAAATCAAGAAAACAGCCAGAAGAATCGGCGAAAGCTTGCAGAGAGCACTCGAGGTACTTTTTGTTTCACCTTTCGTATTGCTTAAACCCTGGGGAGACCTATATAGTTCTACCTAAGCGCGAATTGATGGTTCTTACACCATTCATATGAATATAATGGGAGATGTTAACATATTCTATGGTTTATCTTGGTAACAGACTTCAAAAAAGCGTCGCCTGAGGATAAACTTAGTATGTTTAATTCCTTGCTCAAGGGATATCAAGAAGAAGTAGATAATATTACCAAGAGGGCCAAGTTTGGGGAGAATGCTTTCCTAAACATCTATCAGAAACTATATGAAGCCCCAGATCCGTTTCCTGCTCTTGCTTCTATTGCTGTAATTCTCCACTTACCTAATGTTAACATAATAGGAACCTTAAGTCCTCTAGCCTGAATGATATGCAACTGAACTTATGATTTGCTGTATTTCAGGAGCAAGATCGTAAATTATCTGAAGTGGAATCTGAGAATCGAAAAATGAAAGTTGAACTTGAGGAATTTAGGACAGAAGCGACTCATCTTAAAAATCAACAAGCCACAATAAGGAGACTAGAAGAACGGAACCGCCAGCTTGAGCAGCAGGTCAGCTTGCTTTTTGCCTCGTGTTCTAATTGGTATAGGAACAAAACTAAACCAATGTGACTGTGAGTAAAGCATTCCTATTCCAGGAGATCAATTGTGTAAACTTATACACTGAGCCATAAAGAGGAGCTATATACAAATGCTATCTGTGATTTTGATAAATTTCGAGGATTAATATTGATATCGTGTGGGTATTTGGATTCAGATGGAAGAAAAAATTAAGGAGGTTGTTGAGATCAAGCAACGAAATCTGGCTGAGGAAAATCAGAAAACGTTGGAGCTTTTAAAGGATAGGTAAAATATTTTTTCTTCCGTGAATGCTTCGGGTGTTTAGTTGTTTTCAAGCCAGCACCAACCTTTCCATATTCACCTTATATACAGGGAGCAAGCTTTGCAAGATCAGTTAAGGCAAGCAAAAGACAGTGTCTCCACTATGCAAAAATTGCATGAGCTAGCGCAGAGCCAACTTTTTGAACTACGTGCCCAGTCAGGTTGTGCATTGACCCTTAATTTGGTGACTCATTCTGTACTTTCATAATTGAGAGTCTCATTTACGTCAGCCTTCTAAAATTTGTCAGTTTCACTTCAATCTTTCGCATTTCATTTTTCCTTGTTTTATTAATACAAATTACCTTTATCTAAAACATCAGATGAAGAAACAGCGGCAAAGCAGTCTGAAGTTAGTCTATTGATGGATGAAGTGGAGCGTGCTCAAACGCGACTCCTTACACTTGAGAGGGAAAAGGTCTTGCACAGAATGCTCTTTGGATGTCATGTTTATATTAAGGGAATGCCCCAAGATAAACCGGGGGTTTTGCACTCTAATTTTGTTATTGGTTTGTAACAGGGACATCTGCGTTCTCAGCTGCAAACAGCTAATGAAGATACTGAAAACAAGAATAGGTGAGTTAGTTGACGCTTATCCGTCCATTTAACAAGAACCATAATTTCGAAGGTCTTATCGAAGTGGTTGCTTTGTTTTGATTTTGATTTTTCTGTGCTTTTTCACTGCAGTGATAATGTTGATTCAAATAGTATGCTGGAGAACTCTTTAACTGCAAAAGAGAAGATTATTTCTGAGCTTAATATGGAGATCCACAGCGTTGAGACAACTTTAGCAAATGATCGAGAACATCATGTTGCCGAGATAAAGAAATTGAATTCTTTGCTCAATAAAAAGGTGAAATTTGTGCTATATTTTGTCTGTTATGCCGAAAATTTTTACTTCTTTTTTTTGCAGTTTTTTTATCGCTTTCCATTTCTAATGCTAACCTGCCGTCATTTAACTGTGTCAACTAGGATACTATTATTGAAGAGATGAAGAAAGAACTTCAAGAAAGACCATCAGCAAAATTAGTTGATGATTTGCGCAAAAAAGTGAAAATTTTGCAGGTATATCATTTACGGTGTTTTGTGGTGCTTCCTTATTTCTCCTTCTAATTGACTTGTTGCCCAGATCCATTCCCTGCTCTTTCTCGTAATGATACTATCGTGTAGAGTATAATGCTGTTATTGCATATTAGGCTGTAGGTTACAATTCAATTGAGGCT